AAAATGACTGAAAAATGCAAAAATCGCAAAAATGACTGAAAATTGCAAAAATTCCTGAAAATTGCAAAAATTGAAAAAAATTCCTGAAAATTGCAAAAATTGCAAAAATGGCTGAAAATTGCAAAAAATTGCAAAAAATTCCTGAAAAATGCAAAAATTACTGAAAATTGCAAAAATTCCTGAAAATTGCAAAAAATTCTTGAAATTGCAAAAATCGAAAAAATGACTGAAAATTGCAAAAAATTGAAAAAATTCCTGAAAATTGCAAAAATTGCAAAACTTCCTGAAAATTGCTAAAATTGCAAAAATCGCAAATTTGACTGAAAATTGCAAAAATTGCAAAAATTTGCAAAAAATTCCTGAAAATTGCAAAAATTGCAAAAAATCGCAACAACGACTGAAAATTGCAAAAATGACTGAAAATTGCAAAAAATTGCAAAAATTCCTGAAAATTGAAAAAATTGCAAAAATTCCTGAAAATTGCAAAAATTCCCGAAAATTGCAAAAATTGCAAAAATTCCTGAAAATTGCAAAAATTGCAAAAATCGCAAAAATGACTGAAAATTGCAAAAATTCCTGAAAAATGCAAAAATCGCAAAAATGACTGAAAATTGCAAAAATTTCTGAAAATTGCAAAAATTGCAAAAATTCCTGAAAATTGCAAAAATTGAAAAAAATTCCTGAAAATTGCAAAAATTACTGAAAATTGCAAAAAATTGCAAAAATTCCTGAAAATTGCAAAAATTCCTGAAAAATTGCAAAAATGGCTGAAAAATGCAAAAATTGCAAAAATCGCAAAAATGGCTGAAAATTGCAAAAATTGCAAAAATTCCTGAAAAATGCAAAAATCGCAAAAATTACTGAAAATTGCAAAAATTCTTGAAATTGCAAAAATCGCAAAAAATGATCTGAAAATTGCAAAAATTCCTGAAAATTTGAAAAAATTGCAAAAAATTCCTGAAAATTGCAAAAATTGCAAAAATTCCTGAAAATTGCAAAAATTGCAAAAATTCCTGAAAAATGCAAAAATCGCAAAAATGACTGAAAATTGCAAAAATTGCAAAAATTCCTGAAAATTGCAAAAATTCCTGAAAATTGCAAAAATTGCAAAAATTCCTAAAAATTGCAAAAATTCCTGAAAATTGCAAAAATTGCAAAAATTCCTGAAAATTGCAAGAATTGCAAAAATCGCAAAAATTCCTGAAAATTGCAAAAATTGCAAAAATTCCTGAAAAATTGCAAGAATTGCAAAAAATCGCAAAAATGGCTGAAAATTGAAAAAATTGCAAAAAATTGCAAAAAATTACTGAAAATTGCAAAAATTCCTGAATAATTAGCAAAAATTGCAAAAATTGCAAAAAATTGCAAAAATTTGCAAAAATTGCAAAAATTGCAAAAATTCCTGCGATTTTTGCAATTTTCAAGAATTTTTGCAATTTTCAGGAATTTTTGCAATTTTTTCAAATTTTCAGGAATTTTTGCAATTTCTGCAATTTTTGCAATTTTCAGGAATTTTTGCAATTTTTGCAAGTTTCAGGAATTTTTGCAATTTTTGCAATTTTCAGGAATTTTTGCAATTTTTGCAATTTTTCAGGAATTTTTGCAATTTTTGCAATTTTCAGTCATTTTTGCGATTTTTGCAATTTTCAAGAATTTTTGCAATTTTTGCAATTTTCAGGAATTTTTGCAATTTTTGCAATTTTTGCAATTTTCAGGAATTTTTGCAATTTTAGCAATTTTTGCAATTTTCAGGAATTTTTGCAATTTTTGCAATTTTCAGTCATTTTTGCGATTTTTGCATTTTTCAGGAATTTTTGCAATTTTTACAATTTTCAGTCATTTTTGCAATTTTTGCAATTTTTGCAATTTTTGCAATTTTTGCAATTTTCAGTAATTTTTGCAATTTTCAGTAATTTTTGCAATTTTCAGGAATTTTTGCAATTTTCAGGAATTTTTGCAATTTTTGCAATTTTCAGTCATTTTTGCGATTTTAGCAATTTTCGGTCATTTTTGCGATTTTTGCAATTTTCAGGAATTTTTGCAAATTTTGCAATTTTCAGGAATATTTTACATTTTTGCAATTTTCAGTCATTTTTGCGATTTTTGCAATTTTTGCAATTTTCAGGAATTTTTGCAATTTTTGCAATTTTCAGTCATTTTTGCGATTTTTGTAATTTTTGCAATTTTCAGGAATTTTTGCAATTTTTGCAATTTTCAGGAATTTTTGCAATTTTTGCAATTTTCAGGAATTTTCGCAATTTTTGCAATTTTCAGGAATTTTTGCAATTTTTGCAATTTTTGCAATTTTCAGGAATTTTTGCAATTTTTGCAATTTTCAGGAATTTTTGCAATTTTTGCAATTTTCAGGAATTTCTGCAATTTTTGCAATTTTCAGGAATTTTTGCAATTTTTTCAATTTTCAGTCATTTTTGCGATTTTTGCAATTTTCAAGAATTTTTGCAATTTTTGCAATTTTCAGGTATTTTTGCAATTTTTGCAATTTTCAGGAATTTTTGCAATTTTAGCAATTTTTGCAATTTTCAGGAATTTTTGCAATTTTTGCAATTTTCAGGAATTTTTGCAATTTTTGCAATTTTCAGGAATTTTTTGCAATTTTTGCAATTTTCAGTCATTTTTGCGATTTTTGCTTTTTTCAGGAATTTTTGCAATTTTTACAATTTGCAGTCATTTTTGCAATTTTTTGCAATTTTTGCAATTTTTGCAATTTTTGCAATTTTCAGTAATTTTTGCAATCTTCAGTAATTTTTGCAATTTTCAGGAATTTTTCTAATTTTCAGGAATTTTTGCAATTTTTGCAATTTTCAGTCATTTTTGCGATTTTTGCAATTTTTGCAATTTTCGGTCATTTTTGCGATTTTTGCAATTTTCAGGAATTTTTGCAATTTTTGCAATTTTCAGGAATTTTTGCAATTTTTGCAATTTTCAGTCATTTTTGCGATTTTTGCAATTTTTGCAATTTTCAGGAATTTTTGCAATTTTTGCAATTTTCAGTCATTTTTGCGATTTTTGCAATTTTTGCAATTTTCAGGAATTTTTGCAATCTTTGCAATTTTCAGGAATTTTTGCAATTTTTGCAATTTTCAGTCATTTTTGCGATTTTTGCAATTTTCAAGAATTTTTGCAATTTTCAGGAATTTTTGCAATTTTTGCAATTTTCAGGACTTTTTGCAATTTTGCAATTTTCAGTCATTTTTGCGATTTTTGCATTTTTCAGGAATTTTTGCAATTTTTACAATTTTCAGTCATTTTTGCAATTTTTGCGATTTTTGCAATTTTTGCAATTTTCAGGAATTTTTGCAATTTTCAGGAATTTTTGCAATTTTTGCAATTTTCAGTCACTTTTGCGATTTTCGCATTTTTCAGGAATTTTTGCAATTTTCAGTCATTTTTGCGATTTTTGCAATTTTCTGCAATTTTTGCAATTATTGCAAATATTGCAATTTTCAGGAATTTTTGCAATTTTTGCAATTTTCAGTCATTTTTGCAATTTTCAGGAATTTTTGCAGTTTTTGCAATTTTCAGTCATTTTTGCGATTTTTGCAATTTTCAGGAATTTTTGCAATTTTTGCAATTTTCAGGAATTTTTAAATTTTTTCAATTTTCAGTAATTTTTGCGATTTTTGCAATTTCTGCAATTCTCAGGAATTTTTTGCAATTTTCAGGAATTTTTGCAATTTTTGCAATTTTCAGTCATTTTTGCAATTTTCAGGAATTTTTGCAATTTTCAGGAATTTTTGCAATTTTTGCAATTTTCGGAAATTTTTGCAATTATTGCAATTTTCAGGAATTTTTGCAATTTTTGCAATTTTCAGGAATTTTTGCAATTTTCAGGAATTTTTGCAATTTTTTGCAATTTTCAGGAATTTTTGCAATTTTTGCAATTTTCAGGAATTTTTGCAATTTTTGCAATTTTCAGTCATTTTTGCGATATTTGCAATTTCTGCAATTTTTGCAATTTTCAGGAATTTTTGCAATTTTTGCAATTTTCAGGAATTTTTGCAATTTTTGCAATTTTCAGGAATTTTTGCAATTTTTGCAATTTTCAGTCATATTCGCGATTTTTGCATTTTTCAGGAATTTTTGCAATTTTTACAATTTTCAGTCATTTTTGCGATTTTTCCAATTTTTGCATTTTCCAGGTTTTTTTGCAATTTTTGCAATTTTCAGTCATTTTTGCGATTTTTGCAATTTTTGCAATTTTCAGGAATTTTTGCAATTTCCAGGAATTTTTGCAATTTCTGCAATTTTTACAATTTTCAGGAATTTTTGCAATTTCCAGAAATTTTTCCAATTTTTGCAATTTTCAGGAATTTTTGTAATTTCAAGAATTTTCGCAATTTTCAGGAATTTTTGCAATTTCTGCAATTTTTACAATTTTCAGGAATTTTTGCGATTTTCTCAATTTTCAGAAATTTTGCAATTTCCAGGAATTTTTGCAATTTTTCAATTTTCAGGAATTTTTGCAATTTCTGCAATTTTCATAATTTTCAGGAAATTTTGCGATTTTCGCAATTTTCAGAAATTTTTGCAATTTTCCAACCAAATTTTGCCTACCCTGTTCAGTCGTTCTCAATAAAGAACAAGTATAAGTGGACCACTTCATTTGTCAAGTAGTTTATATCATAAATAGTCGAGGAAATAACATTATTTTCGAACATGGCCAATTAAACTAAAAGGTTTAAAATGAAATAGTCTAGGATCAACGTTATTTTTAAGGCGAGAACTACTACATCGTACGATACGATACAACATGGAACAAACCTTTCCAGAATCGGAAAAGTATTTTGTAAAAATATTTGATTCCAATTTTGGGTGAAATATTCAAGTGGACCACTTCATTTGTCAAGTAGTTTATTTTATAAATAGTCCAGGAAATAACATTATTTTCGAACATAGTCTAGGATCAACGTTATTTTTAAGGCGAAAACTACTACATCGTACGCGAAAACTCTCAAGGCTCTTGGATTCGAGCCCGTCTCATGGCTATCATTCTACCTGGGCAATCGTACAACGGACAGACGTACAACTATCCCTGCTACAAGCTCGTCGAGCTCAAGCAACAGAAGGAAAGACTTTTAGACGGCAAAAACGTCGCCTATATGGGTTTCTGCAAGGTAATCCTAGATCATATTCAGTGGAAATGATCAGCGCTATTCAGTCTTCATATCCCTCCTTCAATCATTTTGTTCTTACAATTTTTATACATTACACTGGGAATTGTGGTTAACATTGAAATTAGACTAGTACATAATGTACATAAATTCTCAAAAAACTCCAGTCATAAGTGAAAAGTACATATAAGTGACTTATATTGTCACCTCTAACATTATCTAGATTCTAGATATTAACAGCTTTGATAATGATTATTGATTGCCTTATTCTGTGAAAAGGACTGATTCATAATCCATATCATTTTCCATAGAAGCAAAATCAATCTCTTAGTTTCGTCACATAAACGAGTTGTTTGAAGATTCAGAGGTATAGTCTTCCCAAAGTCAACATACACCACTATCAGCCGGTCCGTTTGAAGTTCAAACGTAGTGGATTTTGGTAAGGCTTTACCCATGGTTTTATTAATAAAATTCTCCAAAATTAATTGGCTTTTGATAATGGATTAGAAAATACAGTCCTTTCCATTCCAAATTCGACATTTGATGTAATTTCTTGTGGAACTGCAAAATTATGTTTAGGCCTTATAAGTTAGCTTAATTATCGACATGAAAAAAGTTCAAAGAACATGTAGTAGTAGTATGTAGTGTAGTACTCGATAATAACCAAGGTACATGGTTGTTTTTCAATGGATATTTAATAATCATTCATAGCTAATAAAGATAGTTATTTATATTATCATTCAGGTCAGATTGCCAGTGGGAACTAGGGTGATTTCTATATTCAAAGAGACCAGCAACATAGGCGGAATAAAAAAGCCGAGACACGATCCGTTCTATGCAGGCATTGTGGCTGAACAGCCATTTGAAGGGAATAAGTTCAGGTAAAAATCAGAAGTAAAAAACTATATTAACCATTCTTCATTGCATACAAAGTTGAAAAATACAATTTTCATCACAAGATGGGAAAATATAACAATAAACTGTTTGTTTAGTAGGCCTTTGTATATGACTATAATAATAAATAAATATCACAAAATGGCAATACCATATGGCCATATTACCCTTGATAATTCAGGCTAACAAGATGATCCACCTTTATGTAAATTATTGAAGACAAATGTTGCTTTATTTCTTGGCTGAATAGAATTTCAGGCTCCGTTGCTCTCATAAGGATGCACTTTTTGGTCCTGAGCCTTTTTTGTGGGATAATCAAATGTCACCTAAAGGAAGAACTCAGGAAATGGGAAGAAATTGAAAAGTCCTCCTACTGGAGAGCAACTCCAGGTCAACGACAAGCGAAAAGGTTCATCAACCATTCGCAGACGACCGAGCCAAGAGCTACTCAGCCTCAGCAAACCAGAGCTAAAGCTTATCACAGGCTTTCTCACAGGACACGGCCCTCTGAGGGTACCACCTCAAAAAGATGGGCCTGGCGGAGACTGACACTTGCCGCTTTTGTAACAATGCGACCGAAACCGCGGAACACATACTTTGCTCATGTGAAGTATTAGTCCGCCAAAGGCTGAACCACCTAGAACAGGTCTATCTCACCCCTGCTGCGGTGGAAAATTCAACCGTCAGGAAAATTGTAGGCTTCATCAGAAGTCTAGGGTTAGAGGACCAAAACTAGATAAGGGTAATCACAATAGATCTTCTAGGTCGCAGTGATCGAGAGGTCTCCCAGCCTATAAGACCCATCTACAATCTACAATCTCATAAGGATGGTTCATCTTGTTAGTCATCACACATATTTCATACTCCTGAGCATATGTTTCCAGTGTTATTTTTTTGATTTTTGTTCTTACAGATCACATTAGCTGATGGATTTTATCATTGCGAACCTATTGATTAGTATTACTTAATTCTTATGAATAACTTTCGTCTGTAATTGATGTGTGCACCAGTAAATTATATCTGGGTCGACTGATAAAAAATTATTATTCTGAAATATATCCAAGATGGAATATTCCACATTCCTTAACAACTCTCTTGTTCTTGTGTGCAGCAAATGAATTTACAATTTCAATAATGATGCGTTCCATTTCAGATATTTGATATTCTTTGACATCGGTTATTCTCAGTATGTCAGCTACCACTCTGTGAATCTGGTGCTCCAATCGAGCCCTGACGTTTGGGAGGACGTTTATGTGGAGTCTAGACCTTTCATTAAGAAATATCTAGAAAGTCAGGACAGGCCGATGGTGAAACTAGCTAAGGATCAAACAGTCAGAGTCGAATATAATGGTATAATTTAATTGAATAGTTTATCGATTGTATTATATTATGAGATAATAGGAAATATCGGGGAGTTCAGTCAATCGGGATACAAGCAAACTACTTCTCTCTTCTTTTCTTCTTCAAGGCTGAAACAATATTATTATGATATATGAAACATTTAGTTACAATTCAATTCAATGTCGTGTTTTTTAAGAATTTCATGGAAATCGTTAGTGATTTCATTTACATTATGCTCAACTTTTTACAATCAACTCAGACAATGCCTCACTCCACTGGGACACCCTGTATATTTGAAAATTTTCTCAAAACGTGCGACCAACTGTTATTTCGTGTTCATAGAAAAATGGTGGCTGTGCACGGTGATGAACGTCGATTGTTCTTTGGTGCAAGTGTTTTTTGACGGTTTAAGTAGGACCGAATGGATATACAGGGGCTCGACGAGACTCACTTGCTCCTTCAAGTGATGACGAAATATGTTGTGTTTTTTAAGAATTTCATGGAAATCGTTAGAGATTTTATTTACATTATGCTTAACTTCTGGAAATCGACTCAGACAATGCCTCACTTCACTGGAACACCCTGTATATTTGAAAATATCCCCAAAACGTGCGACCAACTGTTTTTTCGTGTTTATAGGAAAATGGTGGCTGTGCACGGTGATGAACGTCGATTGTTCTTTGGTGCAAGTGTTTTTTGACGGTTTGAGTAGGACCGAATGGATATACAGGGGCTCGACGAGACTCAGTCCTATGTTTAGAGAAGAACAGGCAGCCACTAACAGGCATACTGGTGTCAGGGCGTCTCGCAAATTGGGACATGTGAGTACTTATCCTCGTGAGGCATAGAAGGGTATTAACAAACATTCTTGGACATATTCACCATGATTTTTGATATCACAAAATGTTCGAACACTTTCTTCACTATTCGCGAGATTCACGATTCACTTGACTTCAGTTTAGTTCATTCAACATCACTTTAGAAGATTTACCGTAATATGCAATACAATATATTGTGTTGAATGAAAAAATGCTAACTAGTTGACGCAGGATATCACCGAAAAACTTCTTCACTTCATTTTGAGGTTAAAAGTATGTCCTAAAATACACCTCATTAACAGGGCACCAGAAGTGTGAAGAAATTATGATTTCCAATATTTTCTCAAATACACCTGTAGGAGAAATATGAACTACTATTATAGGTTAGTCAGTGTTCTAATTTGAAATCCTCATTCTTAATTTTTATAGAACAGTGTGTTTTTTTCAACTTTCGGATAGCACACATACCACCTGGGGTAGCAAGATAAAAAAGGTAGGTAGGAATACTTCCACATTTTCCTTCATATTTTGTTTGGACAGGTCACTGGATAAATTATTGACATCGATTGGGCCCATCGATGTTCAACCTATACGTCATAATTCATCAAACTGAACCTTTTTGAATATTCATAGAATCCTTGGTTATTTACACTAATAAGATGAACCATCCTTATGAGAGCAGTGAAGCCAAAAAATCCTATCCAGTTTGGGGCGGTATCTATGAGCGAGAAGGTGAACTACTTTTTGTTTAGTAGCGAATGGTAGGGTCTCTTGATGCAAACTGACGTATTTGTCATCTAACAGGGTACAGACAGATCATAGCTCTTCTCTTTTTTAATCATCTAGTGACTTTGGTTTCGTGTATTGGCGTCCCTGACATGACATTGCTGTCACGTCACATTCATAGGCGTCAAAAGAGATATAACAAAATTTTAAATTCATACTTGATCTTAATATTATTCAATTTTGCTTTGGAAGGATGGTAAAATGTGCTGCGTTAGGCTGTATCAATCAGTTGGATGGAAAATTTGAATTTGTCAGATTTCCATCAAATGCAAATGAACTTGGAACATGGAAAGTGAAGTGATCGAATGGGGAAAATTGGTAAATACATCAGCAAAGTATTCGAGGTAAAACTAATACGAAATCACATATTATACTTTCACATTGTGTCTATAATTATCCACTCTACAAGTTTTTGGGTGCATTTTTGTAGAAAGTTTTGATTGAAACAAAGGCACGAGTCGACCACCGGTCAAGACTTCTGTAAAAGAAATGACGACATAATAAAAATGGATGATAAGGTTCAGACAGCAGGTATTCTAGTAGCTGCTTTAACCATGAAAATTCGTTTCTCAAAGTTGTAGAATAACCGGGATCTAACCTCAAATGTGGTTTGAATTTTTTTTAGAATGAATCTGCAGCCGTCGTCCAATACACTCGCAACCAAGATTTCGTGCAATCGCCAACGCAGCAGGTGAAAAGTGAACAAGAATCTCCTACCAGTGTTAGAGCCGTGGCTCGAAAAAGTACTACGAGACCGCAAGGCGTTTTGCCTGCACCGAATATCGTCCCGTTCCTGCCTCCTGTCAATAATGCTCCTGCACCTACTACAGGCCCCACTAGTAAAATAATGGTAAGAAATATGATCGGAATATATTTTTTTAATATTTGGAAGAAGTCCATAGTTACTCACGAGTTCATAGATGAGATAACTTTGGTTTTTCATCTATGATATATTTTTTTGTTGAATAAACTAAATGTACTGAGGCGGCTCTATGCATGTCAGTAAAGGTTATGATTTGAAAATAATTCGTTGTACATCAAAGGATATTATGCAAGTTATGAGTCATGATAGATATACTATGTTTAGGATACCTTTTCCTATGCCCGAAAACTGCCTAAAACTGATATTTCCTCTTCTGTTATGTAGCTTGAAGACAATGTTCTCAGGTCCAATATATCAATATCTCACTCAGCACAGTGGAAAAAGTGAAGAAACTTCTAAAAAATGATTGAACAAACCAGAAAAGTGGTAATTGTTTTCTCCAGGGTTGGTTATTTTTCAAATTTGCACATAATTGATGGTATCAGAACTCAATTCATCAGCATTGCTTAATATTGCTATATCTTATTCTTCCACCTAAAAGATGCAAAAAAGAGCGATCAGAGCAATAACACAAACTCCCTATATTGAAACATGCATATATCCAGATATATTATCAAAAATTTAAATATTCTAATTCTCCCATCGTTATTTATATATCACTGCCTATATTACATCAAAACTAATGAGCAAAACTTCTCTGAACAAAATGCACTTCACCTATTTGACACAAAAAACAAAAATTTTCTAATAATCCCACATCATAGACTCACCTTAACTCATGAAAGCTTTATCAACCTCCCAAGTAAATGAAATCTACCAACAACAAATTTCAAAATAGAAATTAAAAGAATTCTTCTTAAACTCAATGTCTTCAGCATTCAAAAATTCTTTGATGCTGATATTCTCTTCTCAATTAATATGTAGCTATCATATTTTCATGTTTTTTCCTTGAAATTTTTGATGAACCTGTGCACTCATACCCATATTATTCTATCTAGAGACTCTAATCCAGTTATGTTTGTGCTCGACGACATATTTCTGATGATGTGAAACATTTTATGTTATTTGAGAAAGTAAAACATTATTATTATCATCATCATTGTTCATTAGCAGCATTACATTTTTCGTACGTGTAGCAGTTATGTATCATCCAAGGTTCTTGATGAAATTTTACAGGACCAACTTGATTCACATTCTCACTATTTTTAGACTTGAATTTAGAGAAATTTGATAGTTATGTTACTCTATCGGTTATCTGTCAAAGTTGCACTAATGATGCTCAATTAATCAACATCTGTTTACCATAAGGATCATTTGCTCATTCATCACAATCATTTTGTTTAGACGACTCAATTCTTGTACTCGAACGTGTTTTTCGCAGTACTTCACGCACAACTTGTGCGGCTAGGGCAGGGTGACGATGAATATACTTTTATCGGTATCCTGCTCGAAGGACCATTATGTTCGATGCTTGATAGATAGTGTACTGTATTTGTATGGTTATATGATATTTGATAAGGAAACAAAGATTGATATTAGAATTGCAATTTCCATCCTTTATCTATTAATTTCATTGATAAATCTTATGTTTTTAACAATACGTCGTCTGGTTAACAACACATAAAAATCACTTACGCACCTACCGTCTTCACACGTGCTCCACAAAGTGCTAGGGCAGGGTGAGGATGAATATAAATTTATCGGTATCCTGCTCGAAGGACCAATAAGTTCGAGACTTAATAGATAGTGGACTGTATTTGTATGGTTGGGTCAGGTAAAATAAAGATTGATATGAGAATTGTAATCCTTCTCTAATTAATGATTTCATTGATGAATTTTATGCTTTCAACAACACGTCTGGTTAACAACAAATGAAAATCACTTATACTATACAGGATAAACAAGTACCGCAAACTATTATATAGGGTCATACAAGTACTAAACAATTCTACCAACCTTACTGGAACATGTTTTTCTTAGTACTTCACGCCTCGCGACCAAGTCATCATAAAACGCACCTACCGACCTCACACGTGCTCCACCAAGTGCAGGGAGTACCTAACGCACAACTTCGGCCAATTGCGGGGTCATAACCCCCTTTCGAAGCCCCTCTTGTGCGGCTGGGGCAGGGTGACGATGAAGGCAAAGGGGCGCAAGGAGATCATCTACAAGGCGCCGTGTGGTAGATTGCTGAGGAACATCGCTGAGGTAACATTTTTCTTGTCCAAAAACGAATAATAACTATTTTTGGTGTTTCTAGATGCCATAGTTGTAGGGATGTTTTCATGAAATTGAATTCCCTGACATTCCTATACAAATTTATTTGTCATTGAAAAAAATTAATTTTTATTATTATTTAATATTATAGGTGCACTACTACCTAAGGCTCACCGAAAGCGAGATGACGGTAGATCTGTTCGATTTCAATCATATGGTGCGCTGTCTGGCAGAGTTTAGCGTCGAGTGCAATCCCGATCCGAAGGATCTGTCCAGAGGTAAGGCGTCCTCCTTTATAGGTTGATGAAGACTTCGCCATTGATGCCATAGATATATTGAATGAATATAATTTATCACGATGTCTGAAACGTGTGTGTACTACCTGTGGCTAGAGTTCCTATAAAGGTACTTGACACCGCGGTATTGCCTTTTTTGTATATTAGAGTACGGACACAAGACAAGCAGTGACAATCAAACATAACCACAAACAATTTTGAAGCAAATCATATGATTTGCCAGACAAGGACAAGAATATGTTTTTCGCTTAGATAAAGGATCCTCGCATCTTCCTTCCTCCACAAGTCTTGGGAAGAGTACATCCATATATCTTTCTCTGTCTTTGATTTTTGTATGAGAGTGCATAGCGTCTCCTCGAGTGGGTAAAAGGGTACGATAAATTGATTAGAAAATTATTTCTTCTCGAAATATTGAATGGTAAGGCTGAAGGACCTCAATGGAGGGCGATATCAAGTTGGTATGTACATATATGTCAACGAAATATATATACTATTCCTATGATATAAGTATCTTATATGTAGGTATATATATATATCCGTTCAGTTGAATATTTTTTTATCACAAAAGTTCAGAATGTGGTAAAAACTGATAAGTTTCAACCAATGAAACATACTTTTATTTCGTCTGGAACAATTTCACTTGTACAAGAGTGGTAGGCAATAAGTAATTAATAAATGAACAAATGATATGGCAAAAATATCAGCTGATTTCAGGTAGGATAAATAATAAAGGTTCTCCAAGACATACGAAAGTAGGTATAAATGGACTTCAGCGCTCATAGATCGCCGTTCACATTGCTAAAGGAGATTGTTGGTTTGAACCAGGCCATCGGAAGGTCATTTTCAATACCTAACATAAATGGTGCACTCATTAAATTTCAATAAATTATTGTAACCACATGAACCACACGTGACTTTGATCACCAACGCTTTTTCCAAACTTTTTGCATCCCATCTGGATATTTGCTTGTTCAATTTTCTTGTATTTCTCTGAAGATAATTGCTGATTTTGTTTCAAATCTGAAATAATTTTCAGGTAATAGTTCTGATGAAAATACGTTGAAAAATGTTCTATAGCCTACCAAGAAATTTGAATACTTCGTAAATTTTGTGGCCTGAAACTATATTCCATGCCGGCCGCATCATATTCTGTTTCCATTATTGTAGAATTACGTTATCCGATGGAAAATCGAATAGAGTGAATTGATTTCCCGTGTTCTCACAGTTGGAAACTGCACAAACTTGTATCTTTCTCCTAATTCTCTCAATTTGTCAAACCTTTGGAATTCATGTCATGTACGTCCGTGTACTGTCAGTTCCCGCTTCTTCCATCAATTAATTTGTGGTTATGTCTGATTGTCAGTGCTTGTCATAGTGTCCGTACTCTAATATACAAAAAACGTGGAAACAGCAGTGTCAAGTACATTCAGGAACTCTACCTGCAACATATATTGAATGAATATAATTTATCGCGATGTCTAAAACGTGTGTGTACTACCTGTCGCTAACCGACAGCGAGATGACGATGGATCTGTTCGATTTCAATCATATTATGTGTGTAGCATTCAGTGCAATACCGATGCAAAGGATCTTCCCAAAGGTGAGATGACCTACTTTACAGGTTGATAAAGACATCGCGATCCATTCAGGATTAACTAATGCCAAACACGAATTAACGAATGAAATAGCGGATGGTGGGGATAAATCTGCGAAATCATGAACATAATTTATCGTGATGGAATGATATATTATGTAAGATGCTAACCCAGAAATGGCATCGTTATGTAAATATGTCTAACGGTATCATCCCTGATATACATTATGATACGTGAATTCAATTATTTGATTCCCTGAACTAACGAAGTTACAGGGAGGTTAATTTAGCTGCTGGGCAATGCCAATATATACATATACATTTTGTTTTCAGGACTGGAACAAGTGCCAATTCCCGTTATAAATGGCATTAATAATGAAATGCTCGATTTCTGTAACTATTCCATAAAAAGAGTTCCTATGGAAGGCGTTCATATGAATGTGGACCAAGAATTTTTATGTGGCTGTGATTGTGATGATGATTGTATTGTGAGTATTCCATTCAATATAGGTATATTTTCCATGTTAATATTAATGAAAAACTAAAGAAGTACTTGGACAGTATCATGTTTTCATCTTAAAGCCAATATAGCTAGCCAGACTATATGGCAAGAAACTAAGGTCAAAATTGTATGCTGGTGTCACTAGACATTTGCATTATATCTGGTGACAATTTGTGTAATGATTATTTGTTATAATATTATTTTTGAGACTGGAGGAGCTGATTTTAACACAAACTGAGTAACTGTTGGTATTTTCTGAATAGGATAAAACAAAATGCGCATGTTGGAAGTTATCCTTAGAGGGAGCAAAGTACATCGGCAAAGATATCGATCCGAACTCTGTGGGATACATTTACAGGAGACTTCCGGAACAGGTCATAACCGGTATATACGAGTGCAATTCAAGGTAGAAGACATTCCAATGAGATCGCATCAGAAAAAAAAACTGTTTTTCTTCGTACCTTTTCAGATGTAAATGCAATTCGACTTGCCTCAATAGAGTCGTACAGAATCCGATGACCTTGAAGCTGCAAGTTTTCAGGACTCACAACAGAGGATGGGGCATCAGATGCTTGAATGATGTACCTCAAGGCAGTTTTATTTGTATTTATGCTGGTACTTTGCACACTGAGGCAATGGCCAATGAGGTAAAACCTTTATTCAATAAGTTTGTAGTTCTTCTTGATCATAGAAAAGCTTTCAAGGTATATTTTGAAAGTATAATGTCTGTTTCAATATAGTTTTATTGATGAAATCCAACTGACAATATAATCATAAGATTATTACGGAATCTGCTATCGCTTGTTTCTCAACTCCGTCCCGAAACTTGAGGAACTGTCAACTCTTCAGTGAATCATTTTGTAGAACTAATTCTGGTCAAAATTCACCCTTACACAGAATGTTCACCGTATATAATAATTTATTTTTTATGTGGACATTCTTCATTTATCTTCTTCATTTTGTTATAGGAGAATTCATTACATAATCATTATATACTCGTTACAGTCGGTAACTCAATTTATTTTACGCTAATATAAGTATTTTTTATAACATATGATCTTAGGTTAGATCTAAACTAATAAATAAATGAATAAAAGAACAAATGAATAAGTGAATGAATGAATGAATAAAAAAGCGATGTTTTACCACATCATCCATTAGTTTACAGTTTCTACTCAAATTCAAATTATATCAATGGGTCGAGAATTTTATCATTGCATAAACAACAATTTCTTTTTATGCATCCTGCTTTCCTTATTTGTGTAAGTACTTGAAATGTTGAAACGTGAGAAATTTTGGATTATAAATTTGGCAGAAAAGTAGATCTTGACAGGAATTTGAAATTTTTTTACTGAATATGTGGACAATAAGGGCGGTTTTCGCAACTTTTTGTACTGAACAGAATATTATACCTCTCGCCCTTAACTAGGTTTTCATTTAAAACGACAATGGTCGTTATCGATACTATGCAATTTGACAGCTTCAGCATTTCTCGCAGACATTGCATAGCGGTGTTGCCACAAAAGTGGTTTGTAGTTTTGACAGGTAGTTCACAGTGTTTTCATTTATTTTCATTCATTTTCCACGTGAAATAAGTATGCTTGTTTAGAACCTTTCATATACGAGCCCTGTATCAGTGAAGTTTGCCCAACATATCAAAAGAACTTTTTTCTATGAAATTTGTCATATTATCGAAATAGTACTAAAAACAAATATGTATTTCTGATAATATACGATATTCATATTTAATATAAGCTCAAAATAATGAATTTTTTGTGACAGATTAATTATCTTACAAATTAAAAAAAAAATTGCCGATTAATGAAAATGAACGAAACCAAATATTAGCAAATCACTTTTTCGACTGATTAGTGGTTAGTGCTTCGATACGTCTTGACCTTGACATAGTGTCAACTAATGTCATATGGTGTTAAACTGTTTCAAATTTCTTGAAGACGTGTTCGCAATTCTGGAACGGTCCTTGCGAGATGCGTTCGGAGCTTTTTTTTCATGACTTGGCACAAGGTTTCGATGGCGATAGATCTGGACTACTCGACGTTAGAACTGGAATATTGTTTCCTAACAACCAATCTTTCACTTTTTTAGCAGTTTGGCAAGAAGCACCATCTTGTTGGAAAATACATTCAATATTGTTTTAACGCATTTCTTCAATTTGGAGCGTTGGGCCAACTTCAATAAGACAGGGCTCGTATATGCAACTCACTCTCACATTTCCAAAGAGCAACTGACATAATTCATTGTCATAAATGACAGTTCAGGGTCATGTTCCGATATTGCTGACATAACTGGCCACAGAAAGCAATTTAGGAACACTAAACCTAGGGTCCCTTGATGTAAATTGACGTATTTGTCATCTTAACAGGGTACGGACAGATCCTCGTCTCCTCTTACTCTAAAGTGTTTATGAAACAGTTATATAGTTCCATCTTTATTCATTTCTGGGGATAAACAATAGATTTCTGACATTGTTGTTTTTTAGGTTATATTGAAGACATTGGCGTATCATACGTAATTTCCACATGTAATTTCTCATTCAACTCTACATATTATATCCAAATGATGATGAAAATTTTCGAGTTTTTGATTTTTCAACTCCTGCATAATTTTTGTGAGGCAGTGAGAAAATTTTTCTGAAAGTTTAATACTTTTTACCAAATGGGACTGTTCTTTCGCAGTACCTATCAATAAACTAATTTTGATTTCAGACTAAGCCTTATGGTTGAGAAATGGTGAAAAATTTTATGTAGGTATTCAAACTAATGTGCTCATATGTCATGTGTGCTGTACATATTCATGTTGGGAATCATTTTTGCAGTTTTTCACGAACACTTAATATTTCCTGAATGTAGGTATAGTTTTTTAAATGGTAGGGCATATGCCTTTTCTTTTAATCATCCGTTTCAATCGAAACTGTTTCTACCAAAATGCATTCAAAAACTTGTGGAGTGGATAATTATAGGCACAATGAGAAATTATAATATGTGATTTTGTATTAGTTTTACCTGGAATATTTTGCTGATGTATTCACCAATTTTCCCCATTCGGTCACTTTACTTTCCATGTTCTAAGTTCATTTGCATTCGATGGAAAGCTGACAAATTCAAATTTGCTATCCAACTGATTGATACACCCTAACGCAGCACATTTTACCATTCTTCCAAAACAGAATTGAATAATGTCGTATTAAGTTAATGTATAAAATTAAAATTTTGTAAGATCTCTTTTTCAACGCCTATGAATGTGACGTGACAGCAATGTCATGTCAGGGACGCCAATACACGAAACCAAAGTCACTAGATGATTAAAAGAGAATGGAGCTATGATCTGTCCGTACCCTGTTAGATGACGAATAGGTCAGTTTGCATCAAGGGACCCTAACTACACCGAAGCAGTAGCTTCGAATTTCGAAACGATTTTGGCAATACTGGTACACTGGCAGCATAACATTAGGGTCCCTTGATGGAAATTGACGTTAAAGCATAACATAACCATAATTTATGATCTTTCGATGTTTTGTTTCGTTGGTTTTATTTTCATCCTTCCTATTATTATCTTCTTACGTTGAAATTATGGATGGAGTGTTTAATCATATTATCTTAAAAGACATATGATCGGATAGTGATTCCAGTGATGAAGAAATGAAGCATATTATAGCTGTCGATAGCTGTGAAATATTTGATATCAAAAGTGGGAAGCAGGGCCGGACAGCTAGTTGAGAATAATATACAAATGTTTTTAGGACGGCATTGCCTACGGTGACGAATATTTCGCAGAACTAGATTACATAGAGACCGTCGAGAAATTCAAAGAAGACTACGAAGCGGAAGCGTTGGAAGACGACGACGAAGAAGAAGAAGAGAGGAGATACCGTGGCTTGAGTCCCGTAGAGGATGAGGAGGAGGAACAGGCGAGAATACCTACCAAGTCGAGGAGGTACAACTATACTGAGGATAATGATTTCACTCCTGCCTATCCTCTTTCTACCAAAAGCAGCGAATCCGGTATTAGGTAAGTAGCTCTGCGACAGACTGATTTATACTTTATACTCAGCTGTGATCTGGTCTTCTTGCAATTTGATTGGTTGGAGTTCTGACAGCTGTTGCCAGATCTCTATAAAATCCTTGAGTTGATCCTATGTGCAAGATGTTGGTGGATATACCGAATACTTGATGAAATGGGAATCAAAGAGGAAACATAAATATTAGGATAGCGACGATTATATAATTATGAGTATATACAAAATACCAATGATGTTGACAGCTCGTTTTTGGGGTTGATCATTCTAATTTGAATTTATGTTGAAAGGTTGGAGAGATACATCAATTTTTCCATGAAATTAATAACTCAAGTCTGGCAACAGTGATTGTTAACCTGATTTACACCATACTGAGATGCATTTTGTTAAAATTTTTGTTGAAGGTGTGAGGTTAGACCATACTGACAGATTTCTTCTTATTCTTATTTTCGGGTACGTAGGCGTGAAGGAAATAAGTCAAGAAACTTATCATAGACAAATATCCCCAAATGTCACTAGTTTAATTCTAAATTGCTGTATTTCGAAAATTAAAATGATATGAATGATTTGAATAGTCATTTTAGCAAAGAAAAAAGAACATAATGGCTAGCCAAATAAAACACAACGCAAAACAACACTTGAAAAAAAAACAGTACGGGGAACATTTTCAATTGATAATAATTACTAATGAGGTGTATTGATAATAATGATGCCTTATCGACTCGGGTACTATCTATATTCGGAATCGATGCTAGGTTACCTTTCGATATTGCTTACCTAGATAGTATCGCACGGTAAGCGGTTTTTTTGCAAATTTTAAAGGATCTGACGTCTATGAACTCCGCTGACCTGATCGGAACTACAATGTACTGGATGTTTTAATTTGGAAAAGTTAATTTATTATAAAAGATCTTGAAATGAACGAGAGCTTGAGTGATGTTAATTCATAGGCATTTGTACTTCTTCACAATATTCTACATTACCGATCTCTACCCTTCACTATTCAACAAAAAGTAGTTAACCTTGTCGCTGATAGATACCGCCACCTACTGAATAGAATTTCTGGCTTTATTGCTCTGATAAGGATGGTTCATCCTGTGTGAATAATCAAGGCTTCTAGTTATTGGATGTCTTGTCATTATTTCAGGTCCAGACTTCGAAGAAGGAATAACGAGGATGACGCGAAACCGAATCCCAAGCCAGATACGGAAGTTAAAGTAAAAAAAGAGATAGTAGAACCAACGATAGATATCAAGGCAGCACTAGAAAATCTTGGTGACCAGATTGAGACAGTTACTATAAGCGATGAGGAAGATGGTGAGTGACTGATGAGAATAATACATTTTCAGCTTGAAATTCTGTTTATTTTTTTCAGAGGGTCGGGAAGTTCTCAGTTTCAATCCGAAAGCGGGCGGTTTGGATTTGAAACCAATGAAGTATAATTCGGTCAGAGAACTTTTTGGCGAAGAAGAATGCGTATATGTGATGGACGCCAAGAATGCTGGCAATATCGGGCGATTCCTCAATGTAAGCATAACTTCCTGTCTTTCAACTTCCTGTCTTTCAATCGTGTGTGTTTACAAATTGTCAACATGTCATACGTCAATCATTTATCTGATAACATGTATTGCCTATTATTTTAACTTTCATGAGTATTATCTATCAATTAGTCATATCCTGCTTGGTTTGCAAAGTGGAATAATGTTGAAATTTGAGATTGATTTGGTGAATTTGTATGATTGAGAACGACAATGATGTTTATTATTTGGAATTAATATCTTCACATATTTTGGAATACAAGTGCAGTTTTGAATGCATATACAGGATGTCCTAAGTTATCGTATACAGCGTAAACAACGTTTGCGAGGTCTGCTGGTTTATACGGGGTGATGATGCCGATGAATATCCTGCTGCAATATTTTGCGATCTAAGTAGAGCTTTCGATTGTGTGAACCATGGAAAGCTGTTGAACATATTAGAAAGTTTTGGCATCAGAGGAATACCACTGAGCTGGATTTCATCTTTTCTTACAAATAGAAAACAATTTATCTCTCTGCAGTTTGAAGAAGGAAATCTGATTAAAACTATACGTTCGGTTGGTAGGGACATCGAAATGGGAGTTCCTCAAGGTTCCATCTTAGGTCCTATTCTCTTTATTTTATATGTAAACCATTTGGATTCTATTATTGAGACGGAAAATTACACTGCATATGCGGACGACTTTTCGTTAGTACTTTCCGCTAGAGACAATGAAACACTGAAATCAATATGTACTGAAACAATTCGAAAAGTATCATCCTTCTTCAACTCTAGAGACTTATTTTTCAATATTCAGAAAACACAAATGTTACGAATACATTGTCGTCAGAAAAATATTGATGACCTAGAAGTTCGGCTAGATGAATACTCTCTTTGCAACACTCATAGCGATGTTAAGTTTTTAGGAATAACTTTAGATGAGAACCTCTCCTGGAAATCACATTGCCAGCAATTGTCTTCAAAATTGAATTCTTTAAAATTTCTCTTCATTAATCTACGAACAGTCCTGGAAGTTGATCAGATGATGAATGTGTACTACGCTCAAGTTGAATCCAGGCTCAGGTATGGTGTTTGCCCCTGGGGCGACTCACCTGTTTTTTTTTATTTATATATCATATGTTTATGATCCCTATTATAAACAAATATGTTTCTTATGGTAATAAAGAACAACAACAACAACAACAAAGATGTTTTCATTAGTCAAAAGCGAATATTGAGATGTATCGCTAGAATTCCACATAGAGAATGTTCAAAGTTTTGACGCTTCCCTGTCCCATCATTATCGAAATGTGTTTTTTTGTTTTCAAGAATAGAACTTGTTTCAAACAAGAATGGACAATTTTCATGTCCCCTTTGCCAAAAAGAAAGTTAAATCTGATACTCCTGATCATCTTGGTCTCAAAATGTTTAACTATCTTCCAGACAGAATAAAAAATATCGAGAGACTATCTACATTCAAATCAGAACTGAAATGTTTTTCATTGGAAGAATATTTTTATAGTATAAAAGATTTTATAGATATTTAAATTCTGTGTGGAATGTATTACTCAGTGTAGTGTTTCATATTTTGTTTATTAGTTCTTTTTTATGTTATCATCATTTTATGTATTATTATTTTTACTATTTTAGATCTTGTACTTATATCTTATTTTATTTCATTTTAACTATTTTATATTTTACTGACTGATAATTCCGATACATGTATAATACCATGTCGAAAAATGGGAATAAAAGATTGATTGATTGATTGGGTCACGGTGGATGGCCTATTAGAAGTATCTGGAGAACGAAAAGACAGAACATTCTGAAATTTGGGATGCTTTGATAATTGAACATTCTCTATTCGTCTAAGATGTTTTCATCGATACAGTGTTGCCACTTCTATCAGAAACAACTAGCAACTTTGTTATTTCAAATGGAACACCCTGTATTTTATTGCATTTTTAGATTCTTTCTTTAGATTTTTCAATTTTATGATTTTTTTGTGTCGAAACTATTCATTATTGATCAAAACGGCGTACATGTCCCTATTTCAATTTTGGATTCACTATCTACTGGAATTTAATTGGAAACAATACAGGGTGCTTCAAGATTCTGAATTTTGATCACCCTGTATCTGTTCCAATTAAATGTCAGTAGATAGTGGATCGAAAGTTAGGATAGGGACATGTAAGCCGTTTTGATCGATAATGAATAGTTTCGACACAAAAAAATCCCAAAATTGAGAAATCTCGATTTTGAACACCCTATATCTCTGTAATCATTCCTGCTAGACCCAAGTGTGATACATTGATAAAATCAGCTATTTAGGAAGAATCTGAAAATGCCATAGAATACAGGGTCCTTCATTTAAAATAACGAAGTTCCTAGTTGTTTCTGATAGAAGTGGCAACACTGTATCGATGAAAACATTTTGAACGAATAGAGAATGTCCAATTATCGGAGCATCCTGGCCTCTTGGACTATACTAATAATTCTGTTTCAGCATTCCTGTTCCCCGAACGTGTTCGTGCAAAACGTGTTTGTTGACACGCACGACCCTCGGTTCCCTTGGGTGTCGTTCTTCTCCTCGCAGTTCATCAGGGCCGGCGCCGAACTGACTTGGAACTACAATTACGATATCGGCAGCGTGCCCGGCAGGGTGCTTTACTGCCATTGCGCCTCCTTGGAGTGCAAAGGGAGATTGTTGTAGGTCTCTTTGGTTTCGTGTTGTGTGAACGAGAGGGACGCATTTTTGTATTGGAAGTGTGTGATGGTATTCTCGAAGTAAACTGGCCCGAAAAGAAGTTGAGGATATTTTCAAACACAAACGACATAGATATTGTTAGTTATACCACATTTTTTCTGTGAAAATTCCTTCATTTACCGTGTTTTTGGTTGAAATTGGAATCGTTATTATGCAAAACAAATCATCAATCTCAGATTATCTGAAGAAGAAACGAAAAAGGCATTGGACACGGATCTTGTATGTTCATATTGTTTTCACAAGCTTTTTTCCACTACCCTTACAGATAAATGAAACTATGAATTTCCAGTTATCATCAATTTTCAAAGTTTTTAGCTTGCCTTGCAATGGGAGATTGTTGTAGGTGTGTTCAGGTGTCTTTGGTTTCGTGTTGTGTGAACGAAAGGGACGCATTTTTGTATTGGAAGTGTGTTATAGTATTCTCGAAGTAAACTGGCCGAAAAGAAGTTGAGGATATTTTCAAATACAAGCGACATAGATATTGTTAGTTGTACCACATTTTTTTCTGTAAAAATTCCTTCATTTACCGTGTTTTTGGTTGAAATGGGTTGCGTGCAAGAACTGTCAGATGACCGACCCTGGAGGCACAACATTGAAACACAACCTCACATTTCTTATTTGTTTACAAGTGATTGAAATAGTTTTTCACAATTATTTTGGCATACGAATCGTATTTTTCGGCCATTCATTAATTCGCTGATGCCATCACATTGTGCTGTTGTACAATGCACAGAAACTGCAGCGGGAGACGAAGGAATCCGGTTGGTACATTATGATTTGAAAGTAAGTACCTACTATAGTCACTCACATATAGTTTTCATTTTTGAAATTTGGTAATTCCTCTGACTTCTCATCGGAATTCATTCTGCAATAGGGGCTAATAGTTTATACTCGTGAAATTTCTAATATGATGCAAGAAAATTGGATTCATGCAATCAAACGGGTCTGACATGCTGACAAAATAAGATCATGTGTGTTGTAGACATTTTCAATCTATTAGCAGTATTAACTTGTATTGCAGAAGTAGCAAAAGGAATTTCAATAAGGAATGACATTTCATAATGAAAACTATGTGAGATTACAATTCACCTGAAAAATCATATTCCTTCGTCTCTCGCTGCATTTTTTGTGCATTGTACAACAGCACAATGCAAGGGCATGCTTGAATTAATGAATAGCGCAAAAAACACGATTCGTATGCCAAAATATTGTGGAAAACCATTTCAATCCTTTGATTCCTCTGTAAACAAATAAAAAAAGTGAGGTTGTGTTTCAATAATTCACAGAAGAGTGAGGTTGTGTTTCAATATTTTGCCTCCAGGGGTCGGTCATCGTACACGCGACCTATTAGTATTTTTTTGGAATCGTTATTATGCAAAACTAATCATCAATCTCAGGTTATCTGAAGGAGAAACTAAAAAGGCATTAGACATGAGAATTTTGTATGTTTATATTGTTTCCAAAAGCTTTTCTACACTTCCCCAACAGATAAATGAAACACTATTCGCGATAGAAAATAACACGTCGCCCCACCTGATGGCAGCAACTTGAACACTTATAAGCGGTTTGTTTTCATGATATAACCAATAATCACAAACAAAAAAGAAAAGTGAACCAATGAAAACAGAGTTAACATGCCGCTTTGACAGCTTTCAAGAACTCCGATAGGTGGCGTGCGCTTATTTTCTATCGTGAATGAATATCCATTTATCATCAATTTTCAAACCTTTTAGCTTGCCTTCCAATGCAAAGGGAGATTGTTGTAGGTGTGTTTTGGTGTCTTTGGTTTCGTGTTGTGTAAACGAGAGGGACGCATTTTTGTATTGGAAGTGTGTGATGGTATTCTCGATGTAAACTGATCGAAAAAAAGTTGAGGATTTTTCAAACACAAACGACATATATATTGTTAGTTATACGTGGTTATACCACATTTTTTCTGTGAAAATTCTTTAATTTACCGTGTTTTCGGTTGAAATTAGTATTTTTGGAATCGTTATTATGCAAAACGAATCATCAATCTCAGGTTATCTGAAGAAGAAACTAAAAATGCACTCCAATGCTTCCTATGTTGTCGTCTTTTCTATAGATATACAGGGTGTTGAGAAATTAGACTTTCGATGGAGAATAATATTGATAAATTTGACCACCATATGTATATACTGGTTAGGAACTATTTCAATGTTTGCATATGGTGAATTCAGTAGAATGTTCAAGAAACAATATCATGTATTTGTAATATCGAGAAATATAATTATTCTTAAATTTCCTGTTGTAGTAATTCATTTGATGTCCTAAAAAAAAAAATCCTAAACATTTTGACAAATTGAAGAATACAATTTTTTTCAGAAAAAAATTATTCTCGATACGTATAGAGTTTGACCTGGACAACACGAGAAAGTTGTTGATTTTTTTCTGAGGCCCTTATTTCTCAAAAAATTTTCTGTATCTCGGAAACCGCTGAGAATTCGGGCTTATCGCACAGCATTTCAAAAGCAGAAACTTGTGTCTTGTAATCGTGTCCCATCAACATTGGTATAGGAAAAACCAAAATTTTGGAAAATTTTGAAACTGCAATAATTTTTTTTTTCAAAAAAATTTTATTCTCGATTCGTATAGAGGTTGACCTGGACAACACGAGAAAGTTGTTGATTTTTTTCTGAGGCCCTTATTTCTCAAAAAATTTTCTGTATCTCGGAAACCGCTGGGAATTCGGGCTTATCGCACAGCATTTCAAAAGCAGAAACTTGTGTCTTGTAATCGTGTCCCATCAACATTGGTATAGGAAAAACCAAAATTTTGGAAAATTTTGAAACTGCAGGAAAATGCAATAATTTTTTTTTCTCAAAAAAATTTTATTCTCGATTCGTATAGAGGTTGACCTGGACAACACGAGAAAGTTGTTGATTTTTTTCTGAGGCCCTTATTTCTCAAAAAATTGTCTGTATCTCAGAAACCGCTGGGAATTCGGGCTTATCGCACAGCATTTCAAAAGCAGAAACTTGTGTCTTGTAATCGTGTCCCATTAACATTGGTATAGGAAAAACCAAAATTTTGGAAAATTTTGAAACTGCAGGAAAATGCAATAATTTTTTTTTTCTCAAAAAAATTTTATTCTCGATTCGTATAGAGGTTGACCTGGACAACACGAGAAAGTTGTTGATTTTTTTCTAAGGTCCTTCTTTCTCAAAAAATTTTCTGTATCTCGGAAACCGCTGGGAATTCGGGCTTATCGCACAGCATTTCAAAAGCAGAAACTTGTGTCTTGTAATCGTGTCCCATTAACATTGGTATAGGAAAAACCAAAATTTTGGAAAATTTTAGATTTTTTCAGATTTTCAAATTTCTGGGAAAATGCAGTTTCTTTTCGAAAAAAAAAAATTAATCTTGATTCGTATGGTTGACCTGACAAATAAGGAAAAGTTCATAATCTTCTAAGGCCCTCATTCAGGCATTCCGGCAAAGCATTGGTAAAGAAAAAACAAACAAAAAAAATTGTTGGTTATTTTCTACGGCCCTTGTTTCTGGAAAATATTCAGACATATCTGACACTTATAGAGTTTGACCAGAACACGAAAAAGTTGTTAGCTTTTCCTTAAGGCCCTAATTACTTACTGGAAAAAAATCGTATATCTCGGAAACCGATGGAAATTAATGTCGCATTTCTTCAGTGACTTTTCATGCCAATCTCCTTCATTTTAAATGTGATTATCTAGAAAACTAAGAGATATATAGAGAGGAAAAAACTTCATATTCTTGATCGGCACATCTAGAACACCCTAATAGGGATACATGAATACATAAAAAAATATAATGAGGGGTAAATTTATGAATTCCACTCAGTAGAAACAAATTAATATTGTTTATTAAGATGAAAGTTATAATATTTCATTTTGTTCTAGAAAATGTAGATGGTAAATGAAATATTTGTACTCCTATATATTTTTTTATATAAGTTTCTGATGCCAATGAAACAGCTATCAAGGTGAACATATTTTTTTATTATCAATTAAACTCAATATTTCAGACATAATTTGTGATCTCTATGTTACAATAATATTTTTTTACAGAGAATCAAGAAAAAATAATATATGTATTTGTATTTACATACGAAAATGAAATAAATACAATTTTTATCACACACACAATTAGAAGACTAAAAATTAATAAAATGTGACCCAAGTAGACAAAAATGCGGTTCAATTTATCTCACCCTTGATGATGTCACAAATTCAAATTACATTAAAAATAGAGAATGAAATCAATTTTGTGGAAAAAAAAATGACGTAGGGACTACAATTATACGTCCTTTCACCATATCACGTGAATTTTGTAAAAAAGACGTACAAACTATTTCCGAAATTCAGTCTTCAAACAAAAGTTAATAAAATTACAGCTAAAACTATTTGTCGCCATCTTTGAATACTTTCCGCTTCACCGGCCGCTTCTCTGGCAAAGGCCTTTCTAAATCATAGAGGTGTTCACGGTTTTGCATATCACTAGCATAAGACTGAAAAAGCAAAAGTTCATTATGCATGGAATACCTAGACACAACGTCACACACAATGTTTCCGAAATTGGGTCAATAAAATATGAAGTGGGTAAAAAAAAAAGAAAAATTAAAAGAAATGATAGTTATTTATTCAACAAGTGCAAAAAGTGAGTGTTTATTGCACGCGACGCAATAAACCAGGGTTGGAAGTCATGACTTTTATAAAAAAGTCATCAAAGTCCGACTTTTTTGATTTAATTCATTTGAAAAAAAAAAAAAAATGCATTTACCCAAAGTGAAATAGAAAAAAAGAAACAAAAAAACTATGTTTTTATTCCCTTCAGAAATCTTGTAGAATAACATCATAATATAACATGTCAATTTTTCAAAACAAGATTAAAAGTGATGATAGAATACAAAATAATAGATACCTATAGATCCAATATCATCCATAAAGTTCATAACACATGGAGAAAAAGTTTATTAATAGAATATCGAAACATTTTTTCTCGGGGATCTTATGCATGTCTGACTACTTAAAAATCGATTTTGACACATGTCACTTGATCACTGGTATGGCGTTAATCTCAAAAAATTACGATGGCAAAAAGTGGGGTTAGATTGGAAGATGGAGTTATTTTAAAAAAAAATAGCTATTTTCAGTTTTCTCAAATAATGGCTGGAAACTCCATATGTGAGCATGAAATTGAATTCTATTCAATTTGTACATCATGAACATCACTACTGTCAAAAAATAAAAAGAGAATTGTAACAAAATTGAAGAATATTCGAAAAAATATAGCTATTTCCAATCCTCCTTCAAAAATTGCTCGAAACTGAATGTGGAATAGCAACTTAATAAGAAATGTTTATGGATATTTTGTTATCTAACCCCACTTTTCGTCGCTTTATAGTATTATTTTTATTTATCACTATACCAGTGATCACGTGACATGTGTCAAAATCGATTTTCAAGTTATCGGATATGCATAATGGATCGCCGAGAAAAAAATTCGATGCTGTGATAATAAACCTGTTCTCATATGTTATGGACTTTATGGATGATACTTGATACTGTATATATCTGCTAGTAAAAATCTCTATAATGCTTGAAATAACAAAGTCTTGCCAAAATACGATCGAATTTTTCAGTATAAACTAGATAAAATCAAAGGTCATAGTGCAATTTGTCTCATTTTTAAAAATTTTAATGAATTCATGACTTCTTCGAAAAAGGTCAATGGAATTAATTCACGAATTAAATCACTGATTTAATTCATATGAATTAATTCATGCCAACCCTGCAATAAACACTTTGCAGGAGTTGCATACAAAATTTTTTCTACGTTGCACAAACCAATACACATATTATTCAAGTGACACTAAGTGCAGAAAAATAAAGGGACTTATTGAATATTTGATAATTAATTCGCAATATCAATTTGCATCGGGAATTTCTTGATTATGACTGAATTATTTAATTGTCTGTGCAATAATTATAGCTGCTGAAATTGATACAGAAATGATATGAAACAGGCAATTGTTGAAAAGGTAAAGCAGTCTCACATTAGAAGTTTGACTATGGCGTGGATTTGAACGTTTATGTCATGTCAAAATGCGCTGTACTAAAATGACAGATGAGTGCAACAAAGAAACACTTTTTCCATTAAAAATAGTTCAATGAAGTTTTGTTTTCTGCACGTACGTAGAAACATTTTTTAGTTTAAAAATATAATATGTTGCCATTAGGTCATAAATCTCTCCATTTTATGTCTTTCCAATTTCAAAAACATCCTTCGTGATTTCCAAGATCATCTGATTCGATTGAATAGTGGGATTATAATAGTAGATTATCAACCTAGGGTCTGAAGTGACTCTTTCAATCCCAATGCGAAAATTTTGTACAAATTCACTGAGGAATCAATAAGAACTCCAGTCGTGCAGTTTATATTAGTTATTTATGAACTAAAGTTGTGAAGAATATCATTATTACCCAAAGACTATGGGTAATAATAATATCGGAGACATTTTCAAAAAAAGTACAAACTACAAAAAAATACAGAAAATTTACTGCTTACTACCTCAAAAACAACATTGAAATTAAAAAAATCTAAATCTACTGAAATTATTTCATGCTATTCTTGGAAACATTGTGCCAATATCTCAGAGAATAACATGTTATTTATCTCAAAAATGTTACAGGGTATTTCAATTTAAACATATGTACAATTTTCTAAAACCAAAAAAAATTTAAATGAGGTTGTTTGTATCAGAAAAATGATACCAACAACTTTTTTCATTTAGCCATTACATTATGTAATGAAAACGGACTATCAAAACAAATATCAAGAATGAATGTCAGTTGTGTTTATTCCATATCAACATTAATGATGAAATATTCTCGGATTTAGATCAACTCGAAACACCCTGTAATTTACAAAATCCGATGCAAAAAAATACTAACAAATTTGAATTTAATTACTTCATAGTCAGTCAGCTCCTCTGGAATCATTCTTAAATTTACTCACCAATTTTGAGAGTATTCGCTTTGGTATGGATTCTTTCAAACCATAGACAAAATCTCTGTGGAGATGGCTCTTAGTTTCATCTTCGAATAATACCTAGAAAAAACAGGAAAACGTAATGAATACACTGGCACACTATTTGGGAATTTCGGTTGAAAATTTGGAACATGATTTTTTTACGGCAATGAGCTTATATCACAAAAAAAATTTATTTCATAATTCGATTGAACTCGCCCAAACTTGCTCACCACCGCAAACCGTTTCTTGCTGTGAGCTCCCTACGTTTTATAAAAAATTATTGAAATCCCCGATTTTTCGGACCTCTGAAAACGAGGCGATGATGTGACGTCAAAACCCTAATACTGAAACAAGACTATTCCAGACAGAGATGAATGATACATGATTTCTGACAGAGTGAATTAGCGCGAGATCACAGTTGAAATAATTAATATATCAGTTGCCTCAGTTTCTGTCGGGCGTTTGGTATTTTCATTTAACTATGGCGAGATGAGGTTTCTACGTCATAAGAGGGTCCGTTTTCAGAAGGTACTATTATTTATGTCCGAAAATAAAACATTTCAGTTAATTTTTCGATCGAATTATGTCGTCAATCATTATTTATGTATAAAAGGATCATTATTAAACATGGTTTGAGTTAAAAGTTCTCTGCAAAATAACCATAGACTAAAGCGGCGTTCACAACCAAACTTTTTACGTTTCGTATTCTGATTGGTGAAGCAGAATCTGAAATTAAACGTGAACTAAACCTATGCAAATGTCATTCACAACAAGAAAAAATAAACGTGACTTCTTGCTCTGTTGCCTTGGTGTTGTTATTTGTTTTTCATCTTGAAATGAAGTAAATAATCATACAATGTACTTGAAGAACCTATTATACTCCATTGCTGTTATGATATAGTTATTATGCATTCAAAGAACAATATCCGGAAATCTAGACATATTGTGATGTCGGCAACGTCGTACTGGCACAGGGAATCGTATTTAATAATCTGAATGAATGTGGATTTTCAGAAAGTACGTCATAAGGATGGTGGAGGAGCTTTTTTCTGAAGTGAAATTTCATCTTACGAAAAAAAAAAAAAAAAAAAAAAAAAAAAAAAAAAAAAAAAAAAAATACATATACAGGGTAACTCGCGGTCGATGGTACGTTAGACGTTTATGGAGTACGGGACATAGGATCATTCTGAAATTTTGGTTACTCACGTAGTTGCTCTTGGTCTATCGATCTAAAATATTTTCAGCTCTGCGGCGTTGCCGCTTCTATCAAAAAGTAGCAACAACTTTGTTATTTTATATAGAACACCCAGTATTTTATTGCATTTCCAGATTCTCTCTGAAGAGCTAATTTCATCGATGTATCACACTTGGGGTCATCTTTTTTGAAGCAAAACTCAACGTCCAACTCGATTTCCAAAATAAGTCATTAATAAAAGTTTTTCCCATATGATGTCGACTTTATGAATGACACTGTATTTATTCGTCATTGGTCAAAACGACTCACATGTCCCTATCTCAACTTTTGATCAACTATCTACTGACATTTAATTGAAACAAATACAGGGTCGTGCAGAATTCAGAATCTTGATCACCCGGTATATGTCCCAATTAAATATCAGTAGATAGTTAATCAAAAGTTGAGATAGGGACATGTAAGCCGTTTTGACCAATAATGAATAGTTTCGACAAAAAAAATTCCTAAAGTTGAAAAATGTCGATTTTTCACACCCTATATCTCTGTAATCATTTCCGCTAGACCCCAAGTGTGATACATCGATGAAATCAGCTCTTCAGAGAGAATCTGAAAATGCAATAAAATACAGGGTGTTCCATTTGAAATAACAAAGTTGTTGCTACTTTTCGATAGAAGCGGCAACGCCGCAGAGCTGAAAATATTTTAGATCGATAGACCAAGAGCAACTACGTGAGTAACCAAAATTTCAGAATGATCCTATGTCCCGTACTCCATAAACGTCTAACGTACCATCGACCGTGAGTTACCCTGTATATCAATTGTTTACAAACTTCACAGTGACATGAGAACCTCAATATAGGAAACTTCCCCATCCTGGGGTGGTGCAAATGAATGAAAATTCATTTCAAATATATTTCAAAGTATAGTTGAAATGAAAATCGTGAAGAAAACCAACACTCCTTGTCGTCAACTCACTGTATAAGTGTAATTGTCCACTTTCCCGATATAATCTGCGTCATACACCTTCCCATCGACCCACCGTATCTGGAGTCTTTGTCCGATTTCTGGTGCGTCCATCGTCTCGAAATCGACGACGTCGCTCATCCGAATATCCTTCGAGAAACTCTGGTCTTCGGGAAAGAAGACGCACATCTGCGAATCGACCTTGATGTCGACCACTCGCGCGTGATAGTACCTGCCGTTTTTGTGCCTCGCCCACACCACTTGATCCAATTTGATCGCGAGGTACTGAAAAATTATTCAGGGCTCAGAAAACATCAACATTGAAGAACATCTGGTGTATATGCTAATGCCATATTTTTTTCCTGAAATTGCGAGAGAAATGGTCTACGTGTCAATTGTCACCCTGTCAACCCTGTATCTGTATATTTTTATAATATTCACAATGAATCAACAGAATATTGAAATTTCAATCCAACAAATATACTATTTGATAATGCATCCTACCGACTGCGCCAAATTTATAATTGATCTTTCGAGAAACTCTGGTCTTCGGGAAAGAAGACGCACATCTGCGAATCGACCTTAATGTCGACCACTCTTGCGAAATAGTACCTGCCGTTTTTGTGCCTCGCCCACACCACTTGATCCAATTTGATCGCGAGGTACTGAAAAATTATTCAGGGCTCAGAAAACAATAACATTGAGAAACATCTGGTGTATATGCTAATGCAATATTTTTTCCTGGAATTGCGAGAGAAATGGTCTACGTGTCAATTGTCACCCTGTCAACCCTGTATCTGTATATTTCATAATTCCCACAATGAATCAACATGATATTCTATTTGATAATGCCGAAATTCACTACTACTACTCCCTTATTAGTTATTGCAAGGTACATAAGGAAATTTGTTGTTATTATTAATTTTTCGGCAGTTGTGTTAACAGTTTTCGGTGTTCCACAAACTCATTTCATATTATTAATCCAAAACAGACTATTTTGTGAATAAATAAAGTTCGACAGTTTCAAATCTGTCAAGAAATATTAGTTACAAATAGGCACGTAGAAATTTTGTCCAGTGGCGATTTTGAGGGCTTACTTTCGTTGATAAAAAGCATGTTTGAGATATTGAAAATATCAATTCACTTCACTAAGACGAGACAAAATGTTTTATTATTATGTTACAGCACGTGAGAGTCAATTTATTAAAGCATATAGGTACATTTATGGAAATCCCGAATTAGGTATTTTAAATTTTCTGGCAATGATTCCTCAAACTTATCCCCACCATTCGTGAATTCATTCATTTATCCGTGTTTGGCGTTAATAATTTGTTTTTGTATCAGTCGTTGAGTTTTTCCTCTGGAATTGCGAGGAAAATGTTCTACGTGTCAATTATCACCCTGTCAACCCTGTATCTGTATATTTTTATAATATTCACAATGAATCAACAGAATATTGAAATTTCAATCCAACAAATAGACTATTTGATAATGCATCCTACCGACTGCGCCAAATTTATAATTGATCTTTCGAGAAATGAGGTCTTCGGGGAAGAAGACGCACATCTGCGAATCGACCTTAATGTCGACCACTCGTGCGTGATAGTACCTGCCGTTTTTATGTCGCGCCCACACAACTTGATCCAATTTGATCGCGAGGTACTGAAAAATTATTCAGGGCTCAGAAAACATTAACATTGAGAAACATCTAGTGTATATACAGTATGATGCAAATGTATGGAATAAATTCATTATTTCAGAAATGGGCGACATTTGAAGAAATTCCAAAAACACGTGAATTTTAATTTTTGAAACCTCATCTCTTGACATTCATATGAGAGATGTTACGTCACCGGTGTTGGAGTAATGACGTAATGGACGGTTTTTTTAAATACAAACAGGGGTCATGTGACACCTCGTTTGAAAGGTCTACTGATCGATTATCCAATAGTCAAAATTTTGCAAATGAAGTTTGAAATTAAAATGGATTATCATTTGGTTAACTGAATCTTGCAGAGATCTTCTACCGAGAATTGAACATCGAAGGGTCGTCTAGTTGAAAAAATACATCGATAAAAAGTTCTGAACTCTACTTTTTGGATTTTTTTCGGAAGTCGTCTTGTTTTGAAATGAATTTATTTCATACATTTGCATCATACTGTATATAAATTTGTTATTATTATTGATTTTTCGGCAGTTGTGTTAACAGTTTTCGGTGTTCCACAAACTCATTTCATATTATTAATCCAAAACAGACTATTTTGTGAATAAATAAAGTTCGACAGTTTCAAATCTGTAAAGAAATACTAGTTACAAATAGGTACGTAGAAATTTTGTCCAGTGGCGATTTTAAGGGCTTACTTTCGTTGATAAAAAAGCATGTTTGAGATATTGAAAATATCAATTCACTTCACTAAGACGAGACAAAATGTTTTATTATTATGTAACAACACGTGAAAGTCAATTTATTAAAGCATATAGGTACATTTATGGAAATCCCGAATTAGGTATTTTAAATTTTCTGGTAATGATTCCTCAAAGTTATCCCCACCATTCGTGAATTCATTCATTTATCCGTGTTTGGCGTTAATAATTTGTTCATGTATCAGTCGTTGAGTTTTTCCTCTGGAATTGCGACGAAAATGTTCTACGTGTCAATTATCACCCTGGCAACCCTGTATCTGTATATTTTTATAATATTCACAATGAATCAACAGAATATTGAAATTTCAATCCAACAAATATACTATTTGATAATGCATCCTACCGACTGCGCCAAATTTATAATTGATCTTTCGAGAAACTCTGGTCTTCGGGGAAGAAGACGCACATCTGTGAATCGACCTTGATGTCGACCACTCGCGCGTGATAGTACCTGCCGTTTTTGTGTCGCGCCCACACCACTTGATCCAATTTGATCGCGAGGTACTGAAAATTTATTCAGGGCTCAGAAAACAATTACATTGAAAACATCTGGTGTATATCCGAATGCAATATGTTTTTCCTGAAATTGCGAGAGAAATGGTCTACGTGTCAATTGTCACCCTGTCAACCCTGTATCTGTATATTTCATAATTCCCACAATGAATCAAAATGATATTCTATTTGATAATGCATCCTTCGGACTGCGCAAAATTTATACATAACATAATTGGCCGAAATTCACTACTACTACTCCCTTATTAGTTATTGCAAGGTACATAAGGAAATTTGTTGTTATTATTGATTTTTCGGCAGTTGTGTTAACAGTTTTCGGTGTTCCACAAACTCGTTTCATATTATTAATCCAAAACAGACTATTTTGTGAATAAATAAAGTTCGACAGTTTCAAATCTGTAAAGAAATATTAGTTACAAATAGGTACGTAGAAATTTTGTCCAGTGGCGATTTTGAGGGCTTACTTTCGTTGATAAAAAGCATGTTCGAGATATTGAAAATATCAATTCACTTCACTAAGACGAGACAACATATTTTATTATAATTTATAGAAATTCCGAATTATTAGGTATTTTCAATTTTCTGGCAATTATTCCTCAAAGTGAATTCATTCATTTCCCCAATGTATGTAGAATATTAGCATTCTAATTCAAAAAATATGTCATTTCATAATGCATCCTAACGACTGCGCCAAATTTATTAATCTTGAAAATATACAGAAATAGCTTAGTATGAAATGGTCAGATATTGACACTATAACTACTATTAGTTATCAGAATCAATGTGTCAATTGTGGGAACATCTGGTTAGACCCACATTTCGATTCATCCACAGTCTAGGAAGGCACACGAACGATGCCTTGTTGCCAAATCTGAACAATGTTGAGAAATATACTTTCTAGGATGAAGGTTCATTTAGGCAGAGTTAGGTTAGATTGCCTGTGACGTCACGAATGACCGTTTCCCCCCTTGCCCCACTATCGATCGAGGCAATCTTCCTATACAAATTATCATCAATTCTACCAACCTTGCCTATAATGTGAGAAAGTGCCCTCTAGTGAGCAGATTCGATGTTTCAAATTTCAGAGATATAGATAGAAAAACGAAGGAGAAAAGGGGCTTTACCATCGGTCAGTGCCACCATGATATTCCACATCATCTTCCATTTTTACATCCACGAATATTATAGATTCAAAAATTATATTAGACGAAACTAACCTCGAATGCTCAAAAATGTCAACAGAATCACGAATGAAATGAATTTCAGTGAAAAATGGAACCATCGACAATACCTCAACCTATAACCTCACTATGGTGAAGATGTTAATTGGTAAATTTCGCAACACAGTGGTATTTTGGAGTATGAACGGGTTTCCAATTTTTTTTTTCAGACTGTGCAAACTGTATCTGTATACTTTCAATTTACACAATGTATCAATAAAATGTTGTTTTGAATTCAAAAAATATTCCATTTCATAATGCATCCTACCGACTGCGCCAAATTTATTAATAATCGTCAGAAACATCTAGTAGTGAAATGAACAGATTCAGAAAGATTATTTATGATGCCCTGAATATTAGCACCCTAAGTACTATCATGTATTGCTCATTAGAATCAACTTATTTTGAAAATTCAATTGAAAATGACTCACCCTCGCCTCATCATTGTCACTTTCCGCCTTCCTTCTAGCCTCCTTGCTATTCCTCACCACAGATTTCTTCACATCGCAACTTCTGGCTATGGGAAGAGAACTGACATTGAATAAAGTGAGGCCGGAATGCAGATACTCCTGTATCTCTTTGCTGAAATTGCTCAAAACGTCTTGCGCTTTGACGTAACACTCCACGGGAGTTAGGTTGGCTTTTTTCAACGACAAATGCTCGCTCAACGAACCGTCCACCTTGCTCGGCACCGACTCCGAACGGTTCTTGAAATCGTTCAACATTTTTTTGATGAGCGTAAATTGACTTTGATAGTTAGCAGGCGGTCGACCTTTCTTCCTAACTCCCATGATGATTTCGGAGAGGTAAGGCCGCGGCGAAGACTTTACCTGTTTGGGGCTGCCCTTTTTCACGCTGTAGTTGTTGTTGTTGTTGTTTTTGTTATTCTCGAACATTTTGAAGACCTTCAGAAACCTTTTCGCCTTAGCCGAAGACATCTTGTCGTTTTGCCTACCTGTTTTGCGGGCTGCTTTGCATCGCCCCACGTTTTCCTTCGTCTCCTCGTCTGTAACATACACATGTTTTCCGTTATTATTGACAGATTCCCGACGGCTGAGCTCGCATTTCGGATTGGACACGGCCACATATCTCCGACCTCTTTTGTTATCATAGTCATCGTCAGAGGACGACGAGGAATAATTGCTGTCGCTGGGATTGTAACTCGACGTATCGCTCCGGTAAATCTCTTCTTCTCGTTCCGACTCGGTATCGCTTTGGCAAGTGGAACAATTCGAGCAACCCGAACAAGATGAGTCTGAGCAAGACGAGTTCGAACATGGACAAGAGCAAGAGGAACCGCACGAGTCAGTTTCTATGTCCGACAGGCTAACGCATTCTTCTTCCTTCACCGCTGGAGGCACTACGAATTCATCCGTTTCCAAAGCCGTTATGCTGTCCAAGAAGTCTGTTTTTATCGTTTCAACTATGACTTTCTTTTCCGGTTCCTTGTCGAAGATTATAGGCGTGTGGCTCATGGGATAGAACCTGTCTTGGTTGGTGTAGATGGTTTCTTCACATCTGTTGACCCTGTAAAAGTTCTGGTTGCTCCAAATGAGATTGGGTTTGTATTTTTTGGGTGGCGATGGTTTCGGTTCTACTTTTTCCAGACTAGGCATCAACGTTTCGGTTTTCACGGGTGGGGCACTAGCTTTGATAATGGCCTGTGTGGCGACGGGTGAATCGAGCCTTGGCATTTGCTCGTGAGAGGTAAACGGTTCCGGGACGGTCAGCTCCGGCATTCGTTGAACGATGACATTATTAGCACTGGCCGGCGATTGGGGGGAAGGTGATGGAAGCGAAGAAGACTCCGACTTGATCGATGACTCTGACTTCGTCAGAGTTGGTTGAGGTTGCAGAGGTGAAGAAAGAAGATCGTTTAGTGTGACTGGAAGAGATTGCGTAGTCTCTGGTGCGGTACCGACTGCGCTACTAGACGGTTTCCTATTAGAATATATTTTAATGTCCTTTGGTAAAGATGAGATGGTCTCGGAAATGGTAGGTTTAGTTTTGAATACTTTCGTTTTCGTCGATTTCTTCTCGGGTACGTATCGAGGAGTGTTCAGGAAACTCAAGAATTGATTTTCGAAAGGGTTCGCGGGTTTATTGACTTCCGTTTTCGGTTTAATCTGCATCGGGTGCGAGCCCACAACGGTGATGATGCCTTTGGACGTTTTTATCGTTTCTACGGTGCTCAGTTTCGGTTTTTCCTTTTGTCGCCTGTACGATTTCAAATCGGTTTTGGGGGCTGGAGGTAGTTGGATTAGATTGGGAGAATCTAGTCGGTTGGGTGGTTCGGATTCGTTGAGTAGGGCTTGTTCGTGTTCCTCGGCAGCAGCACGTATTATGCTGTCGATTTCTTGCTTCACCTCCGGACTAGAATCCTCCGGGTCCTCCGATTTGATCGATTCCGGATGAACAGGAAGGGTCGTAGCGGTCGTTTCTCCCTCTCGCTGTTTGCCTGGTGGTAAGTATTTTCGTTATGAAGGATTCTACAGAGACTGGGCGTGTGGCTTTATTTTCTTGAGGGTTAGGGTTGTGTGGCCTGCGTCTTAGTTAGTTAAAATATGAGCGCAGAAAGCTGATTGAAGATGAGGAAATTAATGTAAATGTTTGGCTGAAATTGCTTTTAGAATCGATGTAGATGTATGAATTATCATCTGATGAATATAAAAAAGTGCAAATTATAAAAAAATTAATGAACAAGTTTCCACTATCTAGATTAAAATTTATGGGGGAAGTTTCGTGAGATAATTCTTGATTTTAGGAAGAGAATAAAAAGTTATGGCTCCTACACCTTTCAGAATGAAATCACTGTTTTATTGATGAGTCATGACATCTGATAACTGCAGTGAGTAATGCAATTTATGGTGGAATAACTCAATTGAATTATATCCATTTCATTTTTTGATTCTGAGGTTTAAGTTCAATGGATTCAGTTTAGACAATATAAACATTGCCTTCTTTTAGATTTGCACTTTGCCCTACAAAATGTCCTTAAATGTCACTTGTATCTATCATTTACATCACAGGAATTGTAAATTGGTTTATGCGGCAATTAATTGATTCTATTCAATAGTTATTATTTTAGACAGTACCATAATTATGATGCTAGGTAGTGAATATGATCATTAAGAAACTTCTTCATTCAGTTAAAAACAAAAATTTCCATGCCACACACTAAAAGGCCACCACCTGGAATGACGTGATTTGTACATAATGTGGAATTAAAGAGAAATGGAAATGAAAAAACACAGAAAATAAATAAAGATACCATCAAACTCTATGAATTTGTGAATGCTAATGATAAACTAATGATTTCAAGTTGAGAAAACATTATTTTTGAAGAATAATCAACCTACATAGTGAATCATAGAATTCTTCTACAATTAACAACAACCAAAAAAGTGCACTCACCTTTTTTATGCTTCTTATGTTCATGGTTCCTCTCCTTGTGCTTGTGCTTTTTCTTGTGCTTCAATATCTTATCTGTCTCCTGGGCCAATAGAGATTTCACCAATTCCGCCTTGTAAACCTGCTCTTCGATCGGCTTCACGATTTTGCCGCACACCTACAATACCAGGAAGTGTTTCACAACTACTCGCAATACAAAACTCAAAATCACTTTTTTTTGAGATGTTCAATTGTTTTTTTGTTAACATATTCAAAATCTACTAGGAAAAATTACAAGAAACTGTTCTTTGGAAAAAAAATCGATGATAAATAAAATAGTTAAGGAGGGGTTCAAATTATACTTGAAGACCCTGTACACTGTCCAAGATAGGGATCGTTTTTATTTATTTCTGATGTTATTTAAAGAAATACAGGAAAACGAAGAACACTTTCTCATTGACACTTTTTAAGCTCTACACGATAGACATCTTTATCTCAACAACACTGTATATTTCAATTCGACTGACCTTCTTGTCCTTTCTGTCGCAGGCGGCGTAAAGGCCTGTCAGCTCGTCGGTGGAATAGTCCTCGCCCTTTTTCGGCCGCCATCCCGGATCGTCGTCCGACCGCCGTTTAGCCTTCTGCTTCTGGCGCTTCTTCTTCTGGAAGTACTTCCGGCTCTTCTTCACGTTGTAGCCAGCGTCGCATATCGTCGCGTCTTCCGCTTCTACGGCAAACCAGAATATTTCGTTGAGTCCGTATGACACGGGCCAGTTTTTCACTCATAAAATGGATCGTTATTGAAAACGATAAAACATTCAGGCCCGGTTTCACCAACGGATTTAATCTCCGTTTTGGAGTTAACTGACGAATTTGATCGCCATGAAGTATTCAAATCGTTTCACCATACCAGAATCACCGATTAACTCGATTAATCCAGATTATTTCTTAACTGGCAATTTTTCACCAGTTACGGAAATAATCGCGCGTTATCTGTCATGTATAATGAAAAGCAAGGTTATGCATTTTATGGATGGCATGATTATGGTATGGTTATTATGTTTTTGAGATTATGAGATTTATAATGGCAGCTCCATATCTGTCATATGATGATCTTGCTTCCGAAGAATACGAAGATAATCAATTCTTCGGTGCGGCGTCCCCGTTGGATACGAGAGAGAGAGAGAGAGAGAGAGAGAGAGAGAGAGAGAGAGAGAGAGAGAGAGAGAGAGAGGGAGAGGGAGAGATTACTTATTCAGTTCGCTTGTTTTAACCATGTCCACGAAATGAGTTTTTTCGAAAAATCTCGATTTTGAACACCCTATATCTCTGTAATAATTCCTGCTAGACCCCAAGTGTGATACATTGATGAAATCAGCTCTTCAAGAAAAATCTAAAAACGCAATGAAATACAGGGTGTTCCATTTGAAATAACAAAGAAGATGCTACTTTTTGGTAAAAGTGGCAACGCTGCATCGCTGAAAATATTTTGAATCGTTAGATCACAAACGCTTATTAGAGTAACCAAATTTTCAGGATAATCCAATGTACCGTTTTCCGTATACGTCTAATGTACCATCGACCGTGGGCCACCCTGTATAAACATTGTTTCTTGGGATCAATGAATGTTATTATTATTATTGTTATTTTCTGTGGGAAAATTCTGTGCTGTGTGACACGACATAAGATCACAGATAAGATATTGTGAGAAGGGGCAGTCGCATGTTATGAAATAATCACGAAAATAATATAAAATGCAGACTGACATACCGGTTGTGCCTGTATAGTAACCTCAAAATATATTTTTGGAAGAAGATATTCAAAATTGAAGAATTTTATCTCTTGAAAAATCGGAATGAAAAAAAAATTGTCTCGTGAATCGCTCCAAAGAAGAAACACCCGTGGGCTAGGAGTTCTGAATATTGTACAAAATGAACACCTTCCTGGAAACCTAGTATCATAAAAGAATGTACAAATTTCATAAGAATGAATAATGATCAGTTCACTTTTGTTCTGGACATAATAAACTAAAAAAGATACGAGTATGCGAGAATGTATTTCACTAGAGATGAGGTAGTGAGTATCCACATTTCATTTTGAAACCTGAACATATGGTAGTATGCGTCAAATCCGCTAGTTCTGATTTTTTGCAGACTTGTTAATGATGTTGGCCTTATGAATGATCCAAGTTTGTGACCTCGGAGCACCGAACGCAACTTTGTCAAAAATCGAAAAAACCGCGAAAAAATCGTAATTTTTTCAAATTTTGCCGATTATAACCCTGAAGGACTAGTTTTTGAAACAAATTCTCTCAGGACGTTTTTAAAGCAGATCAAATTTGCCACAATATGATACGAAAACTGTCTCTGTAGACCCAATAGTTTTCGAGATTAAGCCTTTCAAAGTTTATTGTCACTCGAATATACTCTAGCGGGATGAAGTTTGGTATAATGATTACATCGCGTTATTCGGGATTGTGTCGGTGTTTTGAGAATTCATATGTGGACTATATGCAGATTTCATACTGGTGAGTTTTTTAATCTTTCCTAACACGTGATAGGCACTTTGCGAGGAAATTAATCGATTTCTTACTCCAAGGAACAAAAATGAATTTAGCAATCCATAATGAGAGTTTTAGTCTTCTCACAAGACCGAATACATTATACCAGGTGATTCAATAAGGATGACGAGATATTGATCTCGGGAACTAATGATTTCGCTTACAAGGTCGATCTGGTTCAAGAAAGGAAGGTTTGCTGAATGAAACAAAACAACATCTATCCCATTCGGGTTCCTAATGCCCTCGCTAGGGGGCGTCTTTAATAAACTATTAGTTCTTGAGATACCCAGCACCTCATCATCCCTATTGAATCACCTGGTACAATGCTCTCGTGGAGTGCTGAATGAATTCATCTTTAGCCCAATTATAGATTCCTGAGGAATCTTCCAGTGTTATTCCATGCTCCTTCCATACAAGGAGGAAAAAAATTCTGGAAATTTGTTTAGTTACTATGGTAACGATACGAGATTCAAACTTGTTTAATTGGTCAAGAATGTGATTTATGAAATTTCCAATGATAATTCAGAGACATGAGTTGGGACAAAAAAAACTAGATTTTATAAGTTATTAGAAAGTTGGCCAAAAGTTCGCAATATTTAAGTTGAAATGATCATCTCAAATGACCCTGTATATCAGTATAGTATATTCCATGTTCCATTCCACTTAACTAACTTCAGATATCATTATTATTATTAGTCATAGATGAATACTTGTTCGGAAATTGATAAGATAAAAAGGTGACGCAACTAATTTGTCATTCGGGACGAGGCGGTGAATCATGTCAGTCTTGTGTTAGATGTCATCGTGTACGGTCGGTCTACTTAAAGTGCTCGTATCAGTTCCAAGCAAGAATCGAGTGTATTAGCGTTAATTAGACGTTTCTGGCAAATCAAGCTACAGATTAATCTGAAAATCTGATGGTGTGTATCAGTCATATCAGATTCGGAAATTAAATTGATGACATACAAAGTAGGTACCTCATAAAAACAAGGACAATTAAACAATTTTGTGTTATAGCCGTAGAAAAAAAAAGTGTCAATCCTACAACTATGTAAAAAAGTGATAATAGTCTATCGAATACATCGTTCGGTATAGTGATTACATCGCGTTATTCTGTGTTGTGTCGGTGTTTTGTGAAGTGTTTTGAGAATTCATATGTGGACTACATGCAGATTTCATACAGGTGAGTTTTTTAATCTTTTCTAACACGTGATAGGCACTTTGCGAGAAAATAAATCGATTTCTTTTACTCCAAGGAACAAAAATGAATTTAGCAACCCATAATGAGAATTTTAGTGTTCTCACGAGATCGAATAAGTACGCATTATACAGTGCTTTCGTGAAGTGCTGAATGAATTCATTTTTAGTCCAATTGTACATTCCTGAGGAATCTTTCAGTGTTATTTCCTGCTCCTTCTCCCCAAGGAGGAGAATATTTCTGAAAATTTGTTTAGTTACTATGGTAACGATACGAAATACAGACTTCTTTAATTGGTCGAAAATGTGATTTGTGAAATTTTCAATGATAATTCAGAGATATAAGTTGAGACAAATATAACTATAGATTTAATCAGAAATTAAAAAGTTGACCAAAAGTTCGCAATATTCAAGTTGAAATGATCATCTCAAATGACCCTGTATATCAGTATAGTATATTCCATGTTCCATTCCACTTAACTAACTTCAGATATCATTATTATTATTATTAGTCATAGATGAATACTTGTTCGGAAATTGATAAGATAAAAAGGTGACGTAACTAATTTGTCATTCGGGACGAGGTGGTGACTCGTGTCAGTCTTGTGTTGGATGTCATCGTGTACGGTCGGTCTACTTAAAGTGCTCGTATCAGTTTCAAGCAAGAATCTAGTGCATATCACAAAATAGTATACAGGGTTTTTCACGATGAGCGTTAATTAGACGTTTTTGGCAAACCAAGCTACAGATTAATCTGAAAATCTGATGGTGTGTATCAGTCATATCAGATACGGAAATTAAATTGATAACATACAAAGTAGGTACCTCATAAAAACAAGGGCCATTAAGCAATGTTGTGTTATAGCCGTAGAAAAAGAACTGTTCTAATTCTACAACTATGTAAGAGAGTGATAATAGTCTATCGAATACATCGTTCGGTATAGTGATTACATCGCGTTATTCTGTGTTGTGTCGGTGTTTTGTGAAGTGTTTTGAGAATTGATATGTGGACTACAAGCAGATTTCATACAGGTGAGTTATTTTAATCTTTTCTAACACGTGATAGGCACTTTGCGAGAAAATTAATCGATTTCTTACTCCAAGGAACAAAAATGAATTTAGCAATCCATAATGAGAAAGTTAGTCTTCTCACGAGACCGAATAAGTACGCATTATACAGTGCTTTCGTGAAGTGCTGAATGAATTCATTTTTAGCCCAATTATACATTCCTTAGGAATCTTCCAGTGTTATTTCAGGCTCCTTCTCCCCAAGGAGGAAAACATTTCTGGAAATTTGTTTAGTTACTATGGTAACGATACGAAATACAGACTTCTTTAATTGGTCGAAAATGTGATTTGTAGAATTTTCAATGATAATTCAGAGATATGAGTCGAGACAAAAATAACTATAGATTTAATCAGAAATTAAAAAGTTGACCAAAAGTTCGCAATATTTAAGTTGAGATGATCGTCTCAAATGACCCTGTATATCAGTTGTAACGTCCGCGACAATTTTTTCAAATGGAACACCCTAGACCCTATATATTATAAATTTGTTTAAACCTCTATGGAAAGCTGAATATTGAAAATATATTACACGTTGGGTTGGTATACAGTGTGTCTCACTTCTAATGGGAGCACCCCTGTATCTTTCGCTATCGCTATTTTAGGAATGTTTTATTTCATCTTCCGGATTTCCTGGAAATAACATCAACTTTCGATTTTCAAATGAAACACAATCTTGGGTTATTCCAAACGATTACGAAGATATTCGCGTTCGAAGTTTCCATATGCTCAATGGGTTTGACGGCGCAATATCGAAACTGCTTTCTCTGTCACACTCATGTTGCTTATGGAAACTTCGATCGCTAACATCTTCGAATCGTTTGAAATATCCCAATCAAACCTGGTATTGTTGAATTCGTTATAATCCCGAGAATAATCCCTAACCGATCATGGAATAAAATACATGGTGTTCCATTTGAACATCGGAAGTTGATGTAATTTCCAGGATAACCGGAAGATCGAAAAAAAATCCTAAAATGTGAGATAGTGCCCTCTAGTGAGCATATTCGATGTCTCAAATTTCAGAAAAATAGCTAGAAAAACAAAGAAGGAAGGAGGGGGAAGTTGATAACTAATAAGGATAAATTATGATATTTTGCGATAGTATCTATAATTTTTCACTATTGTTATATCACAATAAGTTATTCATAACTTTTCAGTCATTTTTTTTGCTGATGAATTCGTTCCTTAATAAAAAGGATCTATTTTCTACGAAAGTTGCATATTATATCTTGCAACAGCGCCCAATACTTCGAGTCCGTCCATTATTTTTCAGAATGTCCAATTTTATTGTTCACTCACCAATTTCTCCTGCCTTGAGCCAAATATCTTCGAGAACTTCCAGCTGTTGTTCGTCCGGCGGTAGGTCATCTGACCCATAGGGCAAGTTGTCCTCTTCCATCAATTCCAGTTGCAGGGAAGTGGGGAACTCTGTCATGTTCAAACTGAAGACGAATAAAATGTATGCCAACTGATGGGAGTATTCATTTTATGTTATTATCTCAGGAAGAAACGGAAACAGCCACAAAAATCTAATTATGAGAACATTGTATGTGTTTAGTACTTTGACCCTATACAGTTATTTGGTACTTTTATTACCCTATATAAAATAACATTTGATTTATTCGTAACATGACGACGTGTTGTTGAAACATAAGAATGAATCAAAAAAGTTCAGGAGAAATTGCAATCGTCTATTGATCACTTCATCAGTTTTTATCAAACAATCATGAATATACAGTCCACTCATCACCAAAGCATCGAACATATTGGTCCTTCGAGCCGGATCAATCTCAATGTGCAAAAACTGATGACCAACAAGTTGTAATAGTTATAATATCGACACATCAAACCTATACCTTCATGACAAAGCATGTCAAACAATTCCTGTCATCAATCAAAGAATAATTATTGCATAAAAATTGGTTAATTCAAGAGCAGAAGCTTGAAATCATAAGGGATGTTTTTCTGCATTACAGAATAGATATGATTGTCTTTGGTGAGTCAAATATTTCCATTAAACATATTTTCATTAATTCAATACCAAGCAAGGAAAGAAGTTGTCTTCTGTTGAATATTTTACCACTAATTCTTTCTTATTTCTCAACAAAATTATTCCCCAACAAGGGGTCATTTGGACGATGGGAGACAATAGACAATGATATATCTTATATGAAAGATTAACAATTAATCACAGAATTTCCCACAGATATTATAAAATAAACGATTCACTGTGTATATTATGATAGCAACACATTAACTATCAGTACTAAAGGTACTGAACGATCAGAATGTGACAAAAAAAAACAATAAAATTCCACTGCTTGTTGCTGAATTAGCTTTCTCGCTAAAATGGCATTAATCAATCAACTTTGAAAAAACAAATCTCAAGAAAGCGACCCTAAAAAATAGCTGGAAAATATTTTTAGGTTTCTAAAATAACCGCTAGGTGGCGTAACGGCTACGAGTAAAGAGAAAATTGAAACCGTATTTGCATGTCAAATTTCATGAAAATATCTAGACAGAATTGAAGTATTGATAGGAAAATGAATTGTATCTTAAAATTTCAACACCCTAAAGCTCCAAAGATGAACTTTTTTTCTTAAAATGAGCTATCCTGTATTTTTAACCATCAATTAAATTACATCCTGTACACAGGGTGACCCTAGACCAGTGGGACAGTTGAATATCTTCTGAACCAATAGGAATTTTCAAAATATTATAATATCACATCATACCCTGTACATTTAAATTTCACATTGGTCAACAATTGGTATTGGTATGATTTGATTACTCAGAATTTGAATTAAGAACTATCACTTTGTTTAGTACTTTGACATTATATAGTTATTTGGTACTTGTATTACCCTATATAAAATAACATTTGATTTAATGTTAACATGATGATGTGTTGTTGAAATATAAGAATTTATCAATAAAGTTCAGGAGAAATTGCAATCGATTGCAATCTCTCTCCAATTAATCATTTCATCAGTTTTTATCAAACAATCATAAATATACAGTCCACTCATCACCAAAGCATCGAACATATTGGTCCTTCGAGCCGGATCAATATGTTTGATACTAAACACACTTTAAGAATATCCCAAGAATTTGATTTCCCTTGATTGGAATTTCTTGTTATTTTCAATGTTTCGGTTACTAAGTGCTGTTTATGTATTTAAAAGCAAAAATTGTTTCTCTCTTAAGGGTAATATGAGGAGAAAAACGAAAATCACTAACTGGCTATAACCCATTCTTCCTCCCCCTCCTTTCTTAGCACCCTTCTTGGGCACCTCCAAATAACTCAGGGGCAAAGAGGGGTTGTTTTTGTTGCACAAGATGTCCTGAGGCATGGGCAGAGGAGCAGCAACCTTTCTGTCTGGTTCTTCTGGATGGGGCCCAACATCTTCTCCTCTCAACCACATTTCATACCTGGAAAAATACAGTGCAATTCCATTTAGAACCCATCATTACTATCAAAGAACGGATTTTCAGGGAAAAAAAAAGAATATAACAAAATGAAGTACAGGGGGTTACATTCACCACCACAGCCCTGGAATTGAATTCATATTGTTTATGTTAGTAGCTGTCAAGTTACTATACCGTTCTTATATTTAGTATGTGTATTTATGTAAAGGCTTGGTCAATGAGATTTATCTTTCAACAATTAATATTATAAAGAGGAAAGATTTGTTTGTTTGTATGTATTGAATAGGCTCCGAATCTACTGGATAGATTTGGCTGAATTGGTGGGGAGGTAGCTTGGAACCAGGAGGAGGTTATAGGATACTTTTTATCCCGGTACCATTAGGAAATTCAAGATGGCGGATCTAATATATCGGACGAGTTTTGTAATTATGGTCCGATTCTATTCAAAATTGGTATCTGGGGATTTTCGGGGTCGGAGATTATGATTCTTTCGTCAGAATTTGAAAATTCGGGCGGAATTTGGAAATTGCAGATGGCGGAACCAATATGGCGGACGAGTTTTGTAATGATAATCCGATTCTTTTCAAAATTGGTACCTAGGGGTTTTCGTGATCGGGAATTATGATTCCTTCGTCAAAATTGAGAAATTCAAGATGGCGGATCCAAAATGGCGGATTTTGTAATTAGGATCCGATTTTATTCAAATTTGGTGTCTGGTGGTTCTCAAGGCCGGAGATTATTATTCTTTCGTCAAAATTAGGAAATTCGAGATGGCGGGCTCAATATGGCGGACGAGTATTGTAGTTATGATCCGACTTTCTTCAAAATTGTTATCTGGGTGTTTTCGGGGTCGGAGATTTTGATCCTTTTGTGAAAATTTGGAAAGGGCGGGATTTGGAAATTCAAGACGGTGGAACCAATATACCGGACGAGTTTTGTGATTATTACTGATTCTATTCAGTAGGTGGGCGTTATCGGGATAAAAAATTATGATTCTTTTGTCAAAAATATGAAATTTAAGATGGTTGATCCAATATTGCGGACGAGTTTTGTAATTATGTCCCGATTCTATTCAAAATTTTCATCTGCGGTTTTAGGAGTTGGATATTATGATTCTTTCTTCAAAATTGGGAAATTCAAGTGAACTAAAAAGAAATTGAAATGAATGGTAGTTTGAAAAACTGAAGAAACACGCTGTCATAGATAGCAAAACTAAAAAGAAGTAGAACATAAAATAATAATAGTGTCTTGATGAATACTGAACTGAAAATATGTATTATAGAAATAATGTATATAGCAAAACAACGTTTGTGAGGTCTGCTAGTTAAGTATATTTTGATTGATTGATTGATGAAGCATGACATACAATTTTTTTTTCAAATAGATCACCCCATAAATAAATCAATTTGTATAAACAAATTACCATTTCAAGAGTGACTCAGCTCAGTTTTTTTTATGAACCAGAAATGGAAACTACAGAGAAAATATAGGGACCATTAAAAAAAAAATGACATGCTCCAGGGAGAATGTAACATCCAGTGTAAATATTGCAAAATATGTCCCTCAGTAGATAATGTGTGACATTTTTTTTTTATGTTTCCTGGAAATTAAAATTTTATGATAGATTTTCAATTGCTAGTTCTGATCATTGTTTAAATATTGACCTAAAAACAATGAATTTTAAAGAAAACAATTATTAAACAATAATAATTGTAAAACACTGTATAGCCCACTTGAAAATGAAGGTATGTGAAATTCATGAGGAGAATTCAAAATATTATATGATCATGGACAAGTTTTCAACTTTTTTTATCATGTTTATATTATAAAAAAAATGTATATTATTATTAATATAGTATGCTGATATGTATGTTATTTAAAAATGGAATAAACAAAATAAATAATGCCAAGTGGGACGAAAAACAGGAAGATTTAGGTTGATACCATATTTATGTTTGAAAGGTTGTCTTGAAACATTGAATTTTCGAAATTTTCTCCCAACATATTATTGTGATAAGATTGATGCCAATTCCAAATGACCAAAAATAATGGCATTGTTGTTGATTTTGATGAACAATGTCATTATCAACAAAGTTTTCTAACAATAATTGACAAAAATACTCAACATCACTTCTTGAAGACTAATTATAATTTTCTAAATAGTATGAAGATGAAAAATTACTCTTGGGAGAAGAAAACATGTATTAAATCATACAAATATAAATAGAATTCTCTCCTTTTTTGAAACATGAGTTTGTACTAGCACTACAACAATAGAGGATATGAAAGAAAGTGTAATGAAAAAATCAATATGACATCATCATTCACTCAATTATATGTATATGTAGAGCTTCTTACCTATCTGATTGGAACCTCTTCACAAATGTGTCCATAGATATTTTGACCATGTCTTTACTACATGTACATTGTGAAGCCCTTTTTCCATATTCTATCCATCTTTCTTGTGCAAAATTTGTTGACTCAGCACAGTTAAAACCATGGTTGAAACCTAGCCAAAATAAGAATCTTAATTCAACTATTTCACCACTAGATTTTGTCGAAAAGAAATGAACATTTTGGGAAAAAAGAAAACACTTGTTGTTAGTTGCAAAAATTTCATTGTTCAATAATAAATGGCCCATAATTTTTGAATGATCTCACAAAAATACATTCCTATAAGAAAACATTAGAGGAAGAAAGCACATGGACATATTTTACTTACCAGCATGATATCCATATGGAAAAGTGATCATTATTTCTCCAGATTCTTGAGTGATCTTGAAATGATAATAAAAATAATTTAACCTGTTCAATTATAAAATGCAAATCAATTTACCTTGTTATAAGGAATAGAATACTGCTTCAATATTTGTGGAGATATCAGAGTCATTTTATGTCTCAAAAATGCTTGGCAAGTTTTATAGGAACCAGGAAAAAAACCATTGGCAAGCCTTTCTAACCTTCTGCCATGCTCTGGTGGTATAGCATACCTAAATGGAGAAATTAGGTGGTTACATAGAAGTGGAACCAATAAATTTTGAACATACCATGTTTTTGGAGCTCCAAAATGCAAGTAATTTATGGAATACAAATCCATATCTTCAGTATGCCATGCAAAAGTGGTCTTCCACATACCAAAGTACAAATAAGCAGTGTTAACACCCTCAATAGATATACCATAGTCTTCATTCACCAAGTCAAGTATGGTACCAAGTTTATTAATATTCCACTCCTAAAAATAACAAATCTTACCTTTCTTGAAAAATAATAAATAATTTTACTGTTACATCAACATCACTGTCTGTTATGCTGCCAGAAACATCAGCTCCATAAATAGGAGCAACATATGTAATATTTTTCCAATACTTCCTCTCCAAATCCTCATAATCAAAATGCCTGGGAGTGGCATAGCGCTCTGAATTAGCTAGCTCCTGGTATTGTTTCACAGTCATGGCCTTTTTTTGTATGTTTATCTGTTGGTATAGTCCTTGTTTGCCAGTGACAACTTGGCAAATTGGAGATGGGATGCTGATATCAAGATCCTCTACATTGTAACCTGATTTTCGGGGCACCCATTCAGGTGGGGGTATTACCTTTGCTAGTCCAGCTTTGTGTGCCCCTTTAGACTCCATGTGTTTTATGTAAGTGGAAAAATCTTTGAATTCTTCCCATGTGGGACGGAACACCATAATCCTGAAGATATAAATAATAATGTTCAGTAGGTACATACATTTTAACTCATTAAATTAACTCACTTTGGGGCTCTCTGGTTATTGCTTTCTGCCATTTTGATCTTTCAATGAAAATACTGATTCACCATAAATTAACTGAACTGAATATTCAAACACATCACATGTTTCCAGTTGTTTTTCGATGGATAGTTCGTGTTTTTTTACATCTACTGATTTGACTGGAAAATGTAAAATTTTTCAGGCGGCCATTATTGACACACAAAAATTCACGTATAACGAAGAGTAAATATTACCACTCAGCCGAAAAGCCACCGATATAACTGTACAAAAAAAATCAGAAAAAAATCTATTGATTAATTCTCCATTTTCGAATTCTTGCAAAGACTAGATAATCATTATTTCAGAATAAATTATTTCACGATAAAATATAAACAACTTGTCACCTCCCGTATCACCTATCACCTCAATTCACAAAACACAAATTTGTACGCGTCTCGGCTCGGCAGCACACGTCAGATACAAAATGGTGGATGGCATGGAACACTGCATTACTTGAGATGAGTGTCAATGTTCGCTTGTGTCAGTAGACTTTATGTACAGACGAATTATTAATCATAGACTAAAAGAACTGAAGAAGACCAAAGAGCAGGACTGGCCCGATTGTGAAATTCAAGTAACCATGACTTTCGGTACCGTTACTGATTGATGGAAGTAACTATGGTGTGGCCAGTTCAGTAGTAGACGGCCTGGGTCAAATTAATCGATGGAAATGGCAAGAAGCCAACTTGATATCCATGATTTTCATTAACATAGGTGATTACTCTCAGAAAATCCGATAGATGTCCCGTCAGTTTTTATGTCAAATTTCAACTTTTGAATGGCGTCTCCTGAACCTGAACCTATTTATTTATTTTGTATTAGTGAAGTGTTGTTGATGAACAAACCCAAAACCCACAGAAATGTAAGTATTTCAGAAAAATATGTTGAAGTTTTCCTGTAAACTAAAGTCTATGAAAAGCGACGACGTTGTGGAGTAAAAAAACAGAAGAGATTGTGGTTAAGTCAAAGTGGAAATCTGAGATGGAAATATCGAAAACGAAATAAAGGACTAAAAGGAGGGAAAAGCAGCCAAAGCTGAGCAAACAGAGGGTCAAGGAGTTGAAGGTGGTTGTACAACAAAGATTTCTCAATTTTAATGCTATTCCAACAAGCATATATGCTTCATATAGGTATGCTGATTTTATCAGCTATGGAGGTGAAAAGTACAACTGTATTGAAGAGAACATTGTATAGATGGTTCCATCAAGGATATTAGATGTACAATCCCGCTGAAAATTACAAAGTACTGAACGTGAACTCTCCTTTCTTCAGACTTATGGATATATGTGGAAAACATATTTCTAATTGTGGACAATATGAGCACAGCAATGTGAGTATTCAATGTTTTTTTGATCAGGACACTTGTTTACTTGAAAATAGGGATAATCCTATAGTGTATTGAATAGTTAGAGAATATTATTAGAATTTTCAGTTGATACAGAATTTCCACTTGATGATTATCATGTCATCAAGTCAATGATTCGATTTTGGGAAAGCAGGAGCACCTCATTACATTGCTACCTGAAATCATACATAACATCCAACTCCTGTGTTTTTCATTCCAACTACTTCCTAATAATGAAAACAATAATCAATCTCCAAATGTAATTTTTATGATCTGAAGGTGGCTTATCAACAGAGCTCCTATAAGCTAATATGACTTGCAGCATGAAGAATATTCTTGACACTTGATTCTTCAATACCACATAAGCTACTGTATATGAGTTGATACATTCAAACAGATCAACTATCATTGTGAATTTGCTACTGTCCTATTGGGTTTCGAATTAGAAAGTATTCTAGAATAAGGCTTGATTTTATTTTCAAAAAGTAGCCATTTTACCTCGCATTTTACTCTTCGTAATCAAAACTATGTACTTACCATAATTGAAATACTATTTTTGCATTGCCTTCGATGAAGAAAGCACATTTGAAGCACACTACACCATTTCACCACTAAACAAACAAATGTTTTGATGTATTTCATATAAATAAATGCCAAGTATCTTCCCTTTCAAAATTTTGAAAAAGTGGTCAGTCCAGTAGCTAGATCATAGAAAGTTCAATGCAATATAGACACTGTGCTAACAAGAATAATATTCACAGAAATCCTGAACAGCATCCTGCATTCCATGTGTAAATTTTGTGGAAAAATGAATGGATTTGACTAGGGTATACATATGCAAAAACCCAGAAGTATCTGTGAAGTTGACTGGATGTGAAACCTATTTAGCTTGGAGGATATACTATGTGCTGTTGCTATAAATACAAGTATTCTATGCTCACACCTTTCATGGTCAACATTGATTTCTCAAAAAAAAAAGAATAATAATAAGGTTCCTGATTGAAATATCTGGAAGAGCATATATTTTTTTCAAGATTTTACTTGGCTGCAAATTTAAAATTTTGTTATACACCAAAATTCAGTAACTGAATAAGGTTCCTGATTGAGATATCTGGAAGATCATATATTTTTTTTCAAGATTTTACTTGGCTGCAAATTTAAAATTTTGTTATACACCAAAATTCGGTAACTGAATAAGGTTCCTGATTGAAATATCTGGAAGAGCATATATTTTTTTTCAAGATTTTACTTGGCTGCAAATTTAAAATTTTGTTACACACCAAAATTCAGTAACTGAAAAATACTTCCATAAGAATCTAGATGTGTCCATCAAGAACTTGTTTCTCAAAATAATCAATTATGGACCATAAAAAAGGGGTTGTAGAAATTGCAAAAATGCATAGTGTATCTTCCAGTTGGAAAAGAAGGAAACAAAATTGGTGCAGGTTAGTACATTTCATTTATATCAATCAGAGGAGTTTCAACATGAACATAGTTATGCTTTCTTCAATTTCTCTATTGAACACCCACTCTCTGGACAAAGTCTTCTATGAGAATTCACAAGGTGGATTGAGGAATGCAGTTAAATAGCTACCATTTTATTTTCAATCATTAACTGGTAACACAGGAACTTTCAGTGAGTTATCATAGTGAAATCGAAATCAATTCTCCCAAATAGATTTAGATTTTTAGATGATCAGCTGGATAGCAATATTTATAAAATTGGATCACTAATATAGTGGAGTAGAGTATTGCATACCAGCAAAATATTTATCCACTGTGTTATACAATATGTACATATTTGCTTAAAAGTTACAAAATTGAGGGAACACAAAAATTACTTTGAAAAATCTGTAATGACTTGGTTTTTGAGCTATTAGGAGTTTTAAAACTGAGCATTTATTAATTTCTTGATTGTTGTTTGTTATATGTTATCAAATAGTTGATTATTATTATTCATGTATTTTGAATCACATATTGATTTATATGTAGCATTGTTGAATTTTCAATTTGATTGATAAACCAGAATTTTCATGAAAAATTCAGGTCCATAGTCCAAAATTTATTTGATGATGGCTAAAATATGCTCAAAACGCATCAAAACCACAATATGTTGCATCTCTTCGAATTCAGAGTGGTAAGGATGATTCGAATCTGGTATGGAGGTATCAGGAATGAATTTGAAAAGTCAAGTTGATGATGGTGACTTGAAATGAAATCAGAAAATCGCTGTCAAATTAATTGACATCAAAAGTTGCTATAATGTTCCTTCAGCTCTTTAATGAGGCATTAGGAACACTAGAAACAGAAAGATGATTTCAAAAATGTTTCAAAGTCATTCTATTGGCCATTCATTTTTGCAACTTTTTTTCTCATTTAACTAAATCTGTATCTCTCGTATTTTCCAAAATAACCTCACTCTCCTTATCTTGGATATAATGTATACATGGTATACATTCAGTAACAGTTGATTATACATATTATCAATAAACGTTAGGTAAATATTAAAACTGAAACAGATATTTTATACAGGCTGATTGACAAAAAAATGCATCTCAATTAAAAAAGGTATATTTTTTATGAAATAAATTCTTACATAAGTTGTATAAAAATAATTTACTTCTTTTTTAATAATAGATAAAAAACAAAGAGTGGATTTCAAAAATAAATGAAGAAATAATATTGATGATAAATGGTGGCATAACAGTAATATGATGTGTATAAGTTTTCTCCCTGTATTTTCGTATATCTTGTGTTTTGCATTTCATCTTCCTGATATGCAACTTGAAATTTTCAATTGAATGCCTTGGGAGATATTTCATTTTCGAACGATATCATGTAGTGAGTTTTTTTTTTATCGTTTGGTGCGCACGAAAGGAAATTCCTATAATGTTCGGAGAACATCGTGCGTTCCTAGGGAGGATAGGGAAAGGAAGTAGGTATTGGCATTTTTTTTTTAACTTTTGGAGATTATAAGTTCTTGGAAATACTTCCTCGGGCAATGAATTCCAGAGCTTAGCCGTTCTATAGATGAAGGAGTTCTGGAAAAGATGCCAGCAGTGACTGAATGCTGGCGATCAAATTGAAGTTTAACTCCTAGGAACTAAAAGTGTGTCTGATGACAGCTGATATGATAGCTGCTTCGATACTGACATGCTCAAGTGTGTCAAATAGTGGTAACTTTAGTCATATTTCATTAATTAAATATCATTCAATTTGATTGCAGAAAAAATTGCATCAAAAGTGACTCTGTTTGACCCGTACAATTTGCGTGCCCGGCTTCGCGTCGCTCCACCTTACAATCGTAAAATTTATTATTCTATTGCATTTCTATTATATTTTGAATAATTACTCAAAAATTTTATCATGATTTTTTGTTGTGCATGTTTCATGATACCTACCTATTACCATTATTTTGAACAATGTCTTGCAATAGTATATGATGAATTGATATCCATCCTACATGCCATGGGAAGAAAATATGAAATGAGAAAACCCAATCATGATCTGTGATTAGAGGTATGTAAAAACAGATTTCCATCGTTCGAATTTGATCCCCGTTGAAAATTCGCATTCTCTGATGAAAATATGTATTCTTTCCTGGTATATTCTACAGAAAACAAATACTTTCCTGGCTATATGTCACGACGAACATTGAATTATATCTACTACAAGTTATCCACTTTGATATCAGGTGGCAATACTTGAATTATACATGAGTTCAAATGCCCGATTGAGAGAACCAGATCTCATAACAGATCTAAGATGAATAGAGTCGCCCAAATTCTCAGCAAGAGCTAGAAGGTACTGTTTCAGCCCACCAAGCCTCATCAGCTGCTCTCGGTCTGCTTCGCGTTGAGTTGTCCCAATTGTCTGCAGACCAAGAGCGAGTGATGAGCCCTGATGTGTTCAAACACTACTGTCTCGCTCTTGCTGACAATAATTGGAGAAACTCTACTCATCTGAGATACAAATGTTCGAAAAATTGAAGAAATATTTTTTAATAGTGTCACTGTAATTT